AAGACTGATATCACGTGCAGCTCACCTCGGAGAGTGTTTTGGCGAGTCTCAAAGCGGTCTAGCGCGCGTTCCCCGGTCCCTCCAAGTCCAGGAGGCCACTTGGTTACTGCTATACTTGGAACATCTAGACTATCACCCCATTGTCAATTATTCATAGGGGGTGGTTCTTGATCCCTCTCCTACCTCATTTCTTGAGTTTCATTGTTCCTTAGGAGAAACCTTTCACATACTCTATTGGTCTCGATCCTCACCAAAACATACCTCCTCTGCCATCATCATGGTGCGTCTGAGGGAAATCCCAAGGACGGCCACGTTCGCCTGGTCGCCTGGCGCTGCGTCGCCATTGATCGCAACTGGAACTCGCGCCGGCGCTGTTGACGCCGACTTTTCTAACAAGACATGCCTTGAACTGTGGGATCTGGGCCTTGACCGCGAGGACGCGAGCGAGGAGCTGCATCCGCTAGCTAAGGTCGATACGGACTCTGGGTAAGTTTTGTCTTTGGGGACTTGAATGAAGATGAGCATGCTGACTGATTAATGAAACTAGCTTCAATGATGTGGCCTGGACAACGTCCGAAGACAACAAACGGGGTGTGATTGCGGGTGGCTTGGAGAATGGCTCGCTGGAGTTGTGGGATGCCGATAAGCTACTTGCTGGATCCAGGTTGGTTGAACCTCTACATATGAACTATACCACGGGATACTTTGCTGATCGTTCAATTTCAGTGATGCGTTGATCTCAAGAACCACTAAACACAGCGGCGCCATCAAGACCCTTCAGTTCAACCCGAAACACCCAAACCTTCTGGCAACCGGTGGCGCACAAGGAGAGGTAGGCTGCAATTCGAGGATAACAGGTTGGATATGTGGCTAATTACTGGATAGCTGTTCATCTGGGATCTAAACAACATCGAGAACCCATTCCGGTTGGGCAACAACGCGGCCCGCACAGATGATATCGACTGCTTGGATTGGAACAGGAAGGTTCCTCATATTCTGGTCACTGGTAGCAGCTCCGGCTTTGTGACGGTCTGGGATGTCAAGACGAAAAAAGAGAGTCTGACACTGAACAACAAGTCCCGGAAGGCTGTCAGCGCAGTCGCATGGGACCCCGAGAGGGTACGTTGGCACCTCCTACGTGGTTTTTCCAGAATTGCTGACCATTTTTTCACGTCTAGCCCACAAAGCTTATTACATCGTCACCCCTCGAGTCAGACCCAGTGCTCTATGTCTGGGACCTCCGCAACTCCCACGCCCCGGAGCGGGTATGTTACTCTTTCAAAGCCCAGGTGTGACTTAATACTGATATTATTTGTATAGACACTCACCGGTCACGAGTCCGGTGTGCTCTCACTTTCTTGGTGTGAGCATGATCCAGATCTCCTCCTGTCTTCCGGCAAAGATAACCGTAATATCTGTTGGAACCCGCAAACCGGCCAAGCATACGGAGAGTTCCCCGTTGTCACGAACTGGACCTTCCAGACCCGCTGGAACCCCCACAACCCGAACTTCTTTGCAACCGCGTCGTTTGATGGAAAGATCTGTGTCCAGACCCTGCAGAACACGAAGAGTGATAACGCCCAGGCCATCGCCGATCACAACCAAGCCTTGGATGGCGAAGACTTCTTCAACAAGGCGCAAACGCAGCCCCAGGTCTCCAAGTTCTCTCTCCCGAAGGCCCCTCGCTGGCTAGAGCGGCCCTGTGGTGCTACATTTGGCTTTGGAGGTCGGGTCGTTTCCTTCGGTCTGACAGAGAAGGGCTCTCGTACATCCAGTATCAAAATCACATCGTTCGAGGTTGATGAGACCGTTGGCAATGCCACCGAGAGTTTTGAGACTGCATTGAAAGAGGGCGATATTCGTACTCTTTGTGAGTCGCGTGCTTCAGGTGCTTCCAATGAAGCAGAAAAGGCAGACTGGAAGGTGATGCAGGCTTTGATCTCCGAAAACCCACGTAAGGGCTTGATAGAGTACCTGGGATTCCAGGATCAGGCTGATGAGGCCGCCGATAGTCTCGCGCAGCTTGGCTTGGACAAGAAGGAAGGCGAGGTCACCAACCGCGCCGCCGCCAAACCGGCTGGGGTTAAGAAGCACAAGCGCTTGCAATCCATGTTCGATGCCAATCCCGAAGGTGACAGCTTCCTTTCTGAACTGGCTGCTTCCAAGGGTGCCCAAACCAACAACCCATTCCAAATTTTCAATGGCTCAGAAAGCCCGGCAGAGCAACAAATTACTCGGGCTTTGCTCCTTGGAGAGTTCGAGAAAGCTCTAGATGTTGCCCTCCGAGAGGATAAGATGTCCGATGCTTTCATGATTGCCATTTGCGGTGGCCCAAAGTGCATCGAAAAGGCACAGGAGTACTACTTCTCCAAGCAGGCTGGCGGTCCGAACTACATGCGCTTGCTCGCGTCTATTGTGGGTAAGAACCTGTGGGATGTGGTGCATAATGCCGACTTGTCCAACTGGAAGGAAGTTATGGCTGCCTTGTGTACCTTTGCCGACGAGAAGGAATTCCCTGATCTCTGCGATGCTCTCGGTGACCGCCTAGAGGAGCAGATCCAGAACAGCGATGATAAGAGCGCCCGCAAGGATGCTTCTTTCTGCTTCTTGGCAGGCTCGAAGCTTGAGAAGGTTGTTGCAGTCTGGGTTGAGGAACTCCGCGAGAATGAGCAGAAAGGAATTGAAAGCAACACTGACAACTCTTCCTTCTCTATTCATGTCCGTGCTCTGCAGGGCCTGATCGAGAAGGTTACCATCTTCCGCCAAGTCACCAAGTTCCAGGATACGGAGCGAAACAAGGACTCGGATTGGCGCTTGAGCGTCTTGTACGACAAGTACATTGAATATGCCGATGTTGTCGCTACCCATGGACGCCTGCAAATTGCTCAGAAGTACCTCGACCTTGTCCCCGAGAAGCACCCTGAAGCTGAGGTGGCTCGCAACCGCATCAAGCTTGCCACGAGACAGGCACCCCAGAAGGCCCAGGCCGCTGTCGGAGCCAAATCTGCCTTCAAGCCCCTCCCGCAACAGCCCAATTTGTACCAGCCGCAGCAAATTTACAACCCTGCTGCTACTCCAACACCGGCTGCTGCTCCTAACATGTATGCGCCTACTGCGCCTGCTGTTTCTCAGCAGGCTAACCCATATGGCCCCCAAACGACCTCCTCGCCAGCTCAGCCTGCCAACCCCTACGCTAATATGTCGACGGGAGGCGCCTACGGTGGAGCAGCTGGGTATCAGCCAACTCAGGGCATGAGACCTACCAGTTATGCTCCACCATCTGCATTCGGCGGGCAGCAATTCGGCGGACAACAGCCCACAGGTGCTGGTGTCCCTCCCCCTCCTCGCGCGTCATCTAACCAGTCGCCGGGCAACACAGTCACAACATACACCACGGCCACTGGCCTTCCTGCATGGAATGATTTGCCTGAAGGCTTTGCGAAGGCACCTACACCCCGCCGTGGAACTCCTGCCGCAGCCTCTGCACCCATCGCCTCTCCTTTCCCCAACCAGTCACCGAATCTGGCCCAGGGACCTCCCCCGGTTGGTGCTCCGCGCGCACCATCCGTGCCTCCCCCACCAAAGGTGGGCTCTGTGCCTCCGCCGCGCATGATGTCGCCGCTATCTGGTGCGCAGGCCGGATCTCACATGCCTGGGCCTTCCCCGCCGCCCCCTGCCAACCCATACGCCTCTCTCCCTCAGTCACCGCCGTTGGCTCAGGGGTCAACAATGGCTCCCCCGGCATCCATCCCCCGCGGAGCGTCGCCCTACAACGCTCCTCCTAGCATGCCACCCCCAACCAACCGGTATGCACCAAGCCCGGCAACCCAGGCAGCCCAGGCTGCAAACCCGCAACTGCAGACTCGTGGCCCGGTGGCTCCGCCTCCCCAGGCCGTTGCCTCGCCATATGCCCCACAAGCAGTATCACAACCCCCCGCGGCAAACCCATATGGGCCCACCACGCCCATTGCTACACAGCCTCCGCCTATGGCCCAGGGCATCCCGCCGCCACCCCAAGGATCTCGGCCTCCCACAGCCCAGTCGCAGAGGCCAACTCCTTCGGCTCCCAAGTATCGTGAGTAAATCCAGTTAACAATAATTGATTCCAGCTAATTAACCCTTACAGCCCCCGGTGACCGTTCACACATTCCTGCAAACGCACAGCCTGTCTTCGAGATTCTATCGGCAGACATGCAGCGCGTCAAGACCCGGGCCCCTGCGGCATTCAAGGCACAGGTTGATGATGCCGAGCGCCGCTTGAACATCCTCTTTGATCACCTCAACAACGAGGACTTGCTCAAGCCGAACACCATTGAGGACATGGCGAACTTGGCCCGCGCTCTCCAGCAACGTGATTACAAGGCTGCCTCCGATATTCATGTTGATATCATGACCAACCGGACTGACGAATGTGGCAACTGGATGGTGAGTGAACCTTGGTCCTATAATTTTGAACGCTCACTAACAAGTATAATTACAGGTCGGTGTGAAGCGACTGATTAGCATGAGCCGCGCTACTCCGTAAATGACACACCCTTGTACCTTGTCAAGTGGAGGGAATGCTAAAGGCTTGGTATAACTTATGTATTTCTGGCCTTGTTTTCTCTATACTTCAGCGTTGCTCTAAATTTTCTCACCTTTCTTGTCCATTTTATAATTAATGTCTTGCGTATTTTTTTCCGTTCCTCTTCTCTCCTTGGGGCATAAGTCCGATCATGAGCAAGGCCCAAGTTTTCCAACGTTTCTTAAGTGTGGTTGATAGTGTTCACTGCATGATGCCTGATGATTTAGACTGCTAGATAGTTATGGATCAAATGTCAATATGGATTTCGCTTTACCGGTCAAGAAAATATATTACTAGGATCTAGGCGGTAATTTAGTAGATGCGGTCAAACATATGAAGATATAAACCCATATAAACATGGATAAACCACCTAGAGAATCCATTGCAATCTATATACATTCATACAATCGCACCAAAAACCCACGATCCAACCCGATCACCGTCCACCGACGGGAAGACCACCACCAAGCCGTCCACCCCGACTAGCAGGGAAGTTACGCGCACTCAACAGCGCACCCTTCACACCGCGAATATCAGCCCTAAACCCAGCAATAGCCTCATCCTCCGCCTTCCGCATACTAGTGCTATCATTCGAGCCCGAGTTATTGGAATTCCAGACCCCATACGTCGACCCAGAAGAGTACGTAGGACCACTATAGATCAACCCATCACAGTAATGATGCAGCTCGGTGAGACGCGTACGCATCGAGTCATCCAGCGTACTCGCGTCCTTCTCCGAGTTAACGATCTCGCGCAGCTTCGAGGTAATAGACTCAACGCGGCTGACGTGATTGTTAACTGCTGTCGATGGAGAGACGGCCGCCGCGTCCGCAGAGTTGACGGGTTCGGTGGCGCTGAGTACCGGAGTGGGCTCTGGACTCGTCTGCGTTGCGACGTCCCGGTGGAACAGCTCGGTTGGGTCCGAGGTGATCGATGAGGCGTCGTCGTCTTCTTCGTCGCTGTAGGGCTTGATCTTGCGCGCTGTTAACTCCGCTGGAATCACGGATACTGTTTTCTCCAGCTTTTCGTTTAGCTTTTGCAGGTTCGCTTCTGCTGTGCTGGCGAGCTCGTGTCGTGCGCTTGTTAGGTTCGCTAGCATGGGTTTCACGAGGTACTCGCTTGCACCGTACAGACTTGCTCCTAGGCCTGTGGCGCCGTATAGTGTGTACAGGAGATTGCGCATTGTCACTAGGGGCGGCGGCTTGGATGACTCGAAGAGGAATTCGGGGTAGGTGATTATTGGGGGGACGTCGCGGGAGGCTTGGGTTGGCGTTGGCACTGGTGCTGGTGCTGGTTGTGAAGACATAGTGTTGGAGGGTGATGAAGAGGCGATAGGAGGAGAAGGGGTGGCTTCGGACTGAGTGGGTGAGGTAGATGGTATCTCTTCCTGTGTTTTGTCCTCGGCTGTGGTTGAGCTGCTGCTCGCCTCTGCATTGCGAGAGATGCCGAGGACCTGCTCGATATCGTCTGAGCTCAGGCCTTTTGACTCGAGGAATGAGACTTTGCGCTCTGTTGGTGCATCACGGATTGACTCGTCTTCTAGGAATTTGGATGCTTGGTCCAGGAGAGCTTGTCGGGATGTGGAGGCTGTAGTTGCGGGCGCATCGTCGGAGGTCGGCGAAGGCGACTCTTCGGCCGTCTTATTGGGTCTCTGCCATGAAGGGATAGAGGATGATTTGGATGTGTCGTCAGGCATGATGAAGTATCTTACACATTCGCCAGAGATATGAGAAAGCAAAGACGTTGGGGTGTTGTAAAGAGGAGAGGGAACCTTCCCCGGACTTGGGGCCATGTGAACCCGACCTCGGCTGTTCCGCCGGCATACACCTGAGGCATCAACATTAGAATATTATCGTATATTTTGAAATCACACTGATATATATAAATTATATAAATGTTATAAATGTTATAAATTCTATTTTAGTTGTATTTATTGTATTTATTGTATTTCAGTAGCTATATCTGAATATCCAAAGTAGAAGCCAAAAGATACCCTGCATCGTCCTTGACCGAAAATACCCTGTTTGTGAGACGAAGCCATACCACCTGACTCCAGGGTCCTATTGAAGGCTATAGAGTGCTCTACGCCAATTACTTCTATATTCAATCTGTAGAGATCAATTGCATATTGAAAGATCGTCACCATATAGTTCAAATGGCATTCGTATATACTCGATACCGCCCGGCAGAATGGACCGCGCAGTACTTCATTCGTTCATCCAGCGTCAGCGACTGGACACCTGGAGAATCTGAAACTTTAGAGAAAAGTACCTGTGAGTATGGCGCTTCCCCCGTTGATCTTGTTGTTTTGTGTTCCTTCCAATCTGCCCAAGCCCGGGGTTGGCTAGACCCCAAAACACCCCAAAGAGAAGCCAGGAGAAACAACCCCCAAAAGCCTGATCCCCTGTAACAGTGCGCTTTGTTCGCACTGGAAAAATCCCGTATAGAAAAGCAATCTGTATCTTCCCGGTTTGCAACTCCGCCTCGCACTCTGTGGATGAAATGATTGGATATCCTTCCTTTCTTCTCTCTCGCTCTCCAGACTTCCCCCCTCTCCCAAAAGGCTTAATGGCTTAGTTCATACTGCCACACACTTGCTTATCGACCTTCCCTGTCCCGCTTCTTTTTTCTGTTCTGGCTTTTGCATTTTCATTTCCCCAAGACTTCTGTCACACTCGATAAAGCCACCACCATGTCGCTCCGTCGATCTCTTCGATCGCGAAAGACACAAGATGAAACCCCAGAACCAGATGCTAACATGACCACCAGGTCTACGAGACAAACTCGCGCATCTACTTCCGCATCTGCCTTAGTCTCGGTCTCTCGATCTTCATTGAATTCAGGAGATACAAAGAGATCTCTCCGTCTTACTGTCAAAATGCCCTCCAGCAAATTGCGGGAAGCTACGGGTCCTGGCCGTGCTGCTGGACGGCGCTCAGTCAATGTGTTCCAGGAAGATCCCATTGTTTCGGGACCCCGCTCCAGTCGGAACCGAAAGAAGATTGTAGAAGTTGCTACAAGCGACGAGGAAGAAATTGACGATCAAGAAGAGGATGAAGTCGATGATGAAGATGCGCCTGGGGATGACGATGATGATGAAGATGCTGACGCTGACGCTGACGCTGATGGCGACATCGATATGGACGACGTCCAGCCCCAGGCGCCTACCAGGCGCGGTAAGATCTCTCCTCCGTCTCGCGCCAAGCCACCCAAGAGTGTGGAGGCCAAGGAGATGGAAATGGAAGAGGACGAAGAGGAAGAAGAAGAAGAAGACGAGGAAGAGCCTATCTCCGATACGGATGAAGATGCCGAAGCCGAGGGTGAAGATCAGGACGAAATTGCAGTTCCAGACATCAACATTGATGATCTGGATGAACTTGACGAAGAAGACGAAATAGACGACGACATGGATAGTGATGCCCTCGCTATGCAAAGTGGCAAAACCACTAAGCGCCAGCGAGGAAACCTCGGAAATGATTTCTTGCAACTTCCAATGGGTGAGAAACTACAGACAATTAACAATTTGTCAAAACTCAAGCTAACTAAAGAATAGAGCCCCAGGTCAAGAAGCATTTGACCGCCGAGGAGCGCCAGATGCGTCGTGCAGAGATGGCGCGGCGAAGGAAGAATCTGAGTGAGAAGCGGAATGAAGAGGAAAAGGTATGCGTAAAAAGTCACCTTAGACATGCTTTGGAGAACGGCCGCTAACGTTGAACAACAGATGGACACAATTAATCGACTGCTAAAGAAGCAGGCCCCCAAGCGGCGTGGTCGAGCTGCTGCCGAGGCCGGTGATGGCACCCCCGGCCAAGAAGGCGCGGAGGCTGAGAAAGCCGACCCTACTATGGCCCGGTGGACTAGCAGTCAAAATGGCTGTAAAGTCAGCGTCCCAGAAGAATGGCTGGGTACACCTACTGGGCGTGTCTTCGGCGCACCTACAGTTCCTGCGGGAAAAATGATTGAAGAAGTTTGATGTTACATGCAGAAATTACAACGGATTGGCGCTTATGGAAGGATTTTCTACTGAGGTATTCGGGAATGGACTACATCATTTGCAAGGGACTAGGGTTGATTTTCTGCGTGTGCTGCGAATGGCGTTCAAAACATACCTCTTCCAAATGTCAAGGTTTAAATGTTATGCAATACATCCACTGTTTCAAATATTCCAGGTACACATAGATATGCCGAGAAAACCGGCTTTTATATTCAATTAGTGGGAAACCTTCACTAGTACGTGGGTTAACCGATTCCAGGATCCAGTACTCTACCCACAATTACTTTGGAACTGGCCGTTGCGCCAATTCCATATATACAACGGCCTCCAGGGCCGGTCATAAAGACCTGACAAGTGTGGCACAGTGAGACATATGGTGTCGTGTGCGCCGGGGCGTCGGAGCACGGGGAAGAGCACGATTTCCAATAGAGCAGCAGAGAACAGGCTACTGGCACAATCATGCTTGGTGGTACCCAGGCCAATTCAGTGTTCAGAATGCCACTTCAAGGTGAAGCCCGGGCATCATCATTGAGTCGCCGACTTGGGATCTTGCTGAGAGCTGGCTTTGGGGAGAGCGTCGGTGTTCTGGTTCAGAGCAAGAGGATCAGACGGAGGTGAGGTCTTTTGAGCGTGCTCTTTCTCATATTGAAGTTGCTGGAATGTCGGTTGGAAGGTATAGTAGCCTGGAGCAGATAGAAAAGTTCGAGATTAGGGATTGATACGAAACATGAGCTAACCTTGCTGTAGAGTAGATTTACCTGTGAAGACACCCACGCCAATAGCGAAAATTGCAGGGAAGAAATTGCGACTCATTTCGGAGGAATTGGGGTAGACGTCGAGATTTGCAGTTGGCGGTTGGAGGTTGCGGAGGTGATGCGGGAAATCGGTTATCAGTTGGCTGATTAGCAGCCGGCGCGTCTGCTAAATTGCTCCATTGGCACGCGTCGGAATCAAATTCCCTGCATTTCAGACAGTTTGAATAGCTGTTCGACGTTTGATCTCCTTGTGTTTCGCGAATTTTGACCCGAGAATTATTTCGCTCACGTTTTTATCGCACTAAGACCGCCCAATGACTGTTTAGAGACATGGGGGATTCCCGCCAAGGATGCAAATGGAATCATGGCGACAACGAGGATATGTCCCCGACTCGGACGAGGAAGATGGCTTCGATTCTCTAGATGCGAAGAAGGGCAATGTAGAACATAGCCCTGCTGTCGAAAATCTCGAATATATCGACAACCCTTCATCCTCGCCGAAGGAAGGGACGAGGAGTGTGACGAAGGAACAACCCGAGCACGTTCGGGATGAGAATGGCTCCATCACACTTTCAGATACAGAGGAGGTGGTTCGTCGGGATACGAATCGAGCAAGTCCTCACTTGAGAAATGCCGCGCATGACGAAACGACACCAAAACATAGAAGAGGACGCAAGACTTACGGACTTCGATCGTCGGCTACGAAATCAACGAATCGCCGTAGCACCGAGCTGCGTAATACCAATGCCTCCGCAAAGAATACAGCCAGCATATACGATTTTCCAACGTCATCACAGGAACATGACAGGCCTCAATCAAAGCCCTCGAGCCGCGAGTCTACGCCGAAACCCTTGAAGACCGTACGGCCCTCCCAATCACAAGTTATAGGAGAGCCGTACATCTCAAAGGACGACACACAGGATGGAACTTCAAGTACTCGGAGCTCCTCGCCTGATGAGTTGGTGCTGATCACTCAGCCAACTCGGAAGAAAAAGCCCGTGGCCGAGCATGTCCAGCCGATAGAGGCGCCACCATTACCATCACCACCACTACAGGAGGCTTCGGAAGATGACTCTCCATTATCTTCTGTACCGTCATCCTTTGGCTCTCCCCGGGCCAAGGATTCTACAGAAGTACACGCAGATGGTGTGATGGAGGCAGAACCAGAAAGACCGACAGATAGGGAGGCAAATCTACAGCAAGCAGTGCTCGTTGAAGTAGATGCCAACCCAAACGATGTATTGCCCCACCTTGATATCCCCGAAGAAGTGTTGCGAGAATTACCGCATGCTGCGCAAAGGACATTCCGAAAGCGCAATGCCATCCAAATGCACCCGTACCATCTGGAACAGCTCAAGTTTGCCCAGCAACTGCAAGCGCGGGGCGTCAAGCCTTTTGGTCGACCTGCACAGCAAAGACCGCAAGTTACTGATGAAAGTCAAGGGCAAGATTCATATGATCCTGATGCACCTCCGTCAAGTCCTCCCCTGGAAGAGTATCTTCCGCCGGTAAGACATGAACGTCATCGTCGCCCACAATCTGCTGGGCAGGGACGGGAACACAACGACTCGGAGCATCCTCGGCCATCGCAAGCTCATCTGGCAAAGCGCCAGAAGACTTCTCATTCTGGAACCCCCAAAGAACGTCGAAATTTGCACAACCCGTCCAAACCTCGTGGTATTAGAGACAACAATACCGCTACTGGGAATGAAAACGGTATCTCCGTATATGACTTGTCATCTAGCCCCCCAAATGTAGGGCGTTTATCTTCGACTTCAAGAACCCCTCGTGCCTCAGAAGGAGGGTTCCGGTTCCCTCGTGGGTGGTCGCCGCCGGGAGAAGTTGCGAAATCCGGGGCACAAGAAACAGAGGAAGCCGGCCAAGTCCAATCACCTGATGCGGGTACAGATGATGATGAGGAAGTACAGTCCGTCTCGTCCAATAGCCAGAGTGATCAAGAAGAAACCAAGTCAGATGCTGAAGAACGTGAAATTCGACGTTTCCAACGAATGATCCGAGGAGCGCTCCCTGCGTCACATGCGCGACTGAATCAGAAGAAAATCGCAGATAAAGAAAAAGCCTCGCAATTAGATCGTCATGCTTCCTCGCAACGACCGGATGGAAAGGGTGTTGCGCGGAAGCTCATTCGAAAGGGTGATCGCTCAAGGCAACCAGAAACGCAACAACCAAGAGGCTTGTTTGATCTTGGAGATTCTGACTCGGACGATGAGGACAACCGCAATGATGCCACAGGAAATGCCTCTATAGCCAATGACTCCAGCCAGAGGCTGACTGGCACCCTCGATCTCGAAGACCCCTTCGCGCTGGAGGGGGGTGATATATCTGAGGATAATCGCGTCGACTACATGTTTGCGCCTGTTCCGCGCAACTCAACAGTTCCTCGGCACAAAACGAACGGTTTAAAAAGGCCGAAATCGAAACAAAGTTTGCTCTATGGGCAGAGACAGCCGAAGAGACCTCGACAAACCCGAATGACCGATGCCTCGTATGGAGCACGAAGGACCAAGAAACATTCCACTGCCCAGCGACCAAGAATAGGAATATTGGATGCGCCAGATGTTGCCACGAGGCCTCGAAAAGAGCAATCGCGGCTGCTCAGGGTAGCGACAAGACGACCACGCTCACGCAAAGATGGAGGCAGGCAGAGCCCTACTCAGAAGTTCGTGAGACTGGCCTCAAGGGAAGACACAGTGGATGCAAATGAGTCTTTGCGAGATTGGAAAAGGGGAGCTATTCGGCAGGCCAAGATTAGCCCACCTCGTTCCAGAGCTCCCCAACGCCGGGATTGGACAACCAATCTTTCGATTCTCAGTGCTCGAGCTAAGTCGAATACTACAAACGGCCGGATACCGAACCGATTCATTGATGCAGAGGCAGACACTGATGTTTCGAACACCAACGCAGTGGAACCGGAACAGGCACAGGCGCCACCTGAATCTAGCGCAGTATCAGTCCCGCCAAACCAAGCCCCAGTGACCGTGTCCTCGTCCCGTCGAAAACCAGAGCAGCACGGTCACACATGGGTTATTCCTAGGAATGTTGCCATAACATCTTTGAAGAGGAACACCATTAGGCCTGCGGCGACTAGTTTGGCCGGCCCTGGTAGAAGCCAGAAAGTGGTTCCCGCCATGTTCAACCAGTCATTGTCTATTCTTAACCGACACTATAAAAACCAGCGCACATCTCAACCTTACAAGCCCAGCTTGACCTTGGATCGATATGTCTCCGACAGTGGATCATTGAGTACTGGAGGCAATTCCTCGCCCATGAATACTTCTGTTGCTGCTGCTGCTGCTGCCGCCGCCGCCACCGCCTCAGCTGAAGCACGAACTCAAACGCCAACCCAAAAAGCCCCTGTATCTCGACGGCGGTTGAAGAAGAATCCTCCAAACCGAATCAATCTCGATGCCGATGAATTCCGTCATAATCCAGATCCTGCTACCATAGTCTCCGATGACTCAGAATCCCTTACTATAACGCCCGTCGTACATGCACGTCCTTCGTCTTTCAGTGTCGGCGGACTTTTCAACTGGCAACGCTTCTACCCGGTCGACTTCGGAGTACCATCCCTACGTGACAATACATTCTTTCACGAGAGTACTTTCATAGGAAGCGGGGAATTTTCTCGTTCGTTGCACATCGCAGAGCGGGACTTCGATGGGGATGCCGCTCCATTCTCCATCGAGCTCAGAGACGAGACATTCCAATGGAGTCGCTGGAACGATACAGTATCATCGGAGATGGGGCAGGTCTTCGATGTGATAATCGATAATGTCGAGCGAAGTGCTGTTACCTCCCCAGAGACGGGCATTACGGCTGCTCTAGGTGTGGCATCGAGGTTATACAGGTTGTTGATCAAATACATCACGGGAAACCTGGTCTTCATCGACCCGGTTGACCGTACGGGGTTTGTCACTAGAGCAATGGGGTTTATCTCCCAGGTGAGAGACCCGTTGGCTGCCTTTTTGTCTAGCGACGAATACAACAAGAGCGGGCTCGTCAAGATTGCTTGCTTCAACATGATTTTCTCGAACCAGATTTATCAAGTTGCTTCTCATCGACTCGTCAGCCCTGCCCTTGCGACTGAAGCTTTGGATCTTGTCAAAATATCCGCTAGAGATGTTGCAGGCTTGATCACGTCCAAAGTCGGTTCTTCTGAGTTTAAAACGTTGTTCAAAGAAAACAACGAGCCTGAATGCCGCGAGTCGGGGATTCGCGATGAGTATCCATCGGTGGAGGCTTATGTCGTCACCAAACATCTTCTACGCAGCTCAGACAACTACAGGGGCTGCTTTGAAGATATCCAGTTTGAGACTTTCAACAATGGAATTATTCGCAACGAAAGGGACGTGGGCAGCCTGGAGGTTGGATGGCGTGGCATATTCACTGTCTTGCCTCTCAACGAAATAGATCTGCTTGGGACTGTACGCCCTGGCTATCAGTTGACAGCTACCAACGACAATTGGAAATTAGCCAAACGGCTCCTCGCCCCAGCCCTGGACAATTTCGAGTCCAACTCTAGGGCACAACCCATTTCGTACAACAGCTACTGTCGAACCTTGTTCCTCAGGTGTCATCGGCTTATCAATTCCTGGGGGTGGAGAGAATGCAAACCTATCCTGGACACGCTATTCGACTTCTTCGCCAAGAACACCCTCCACAACCTGAAACTCGAGGAAGCTCGTGGCTCACCTTCATTTCTTGACGAACTTGATAGCAATCCCTCCCTGGATGCCCGAGTGGGGGAACCGTGTTTCCACACATTTCTCAAGATTGTAGCAAGTGGTCTCCGCTTCTTGGCGAAGATATATGACAAGAAAAAGATTCGAAACTTTGCCTGGCGTCTTTTACCCAATCATGGCCGTGTTTACCCAAAAGAGCAGCCATTGCAGCACGAGGACCTTGATGCACTAAGAAATCACCATGATCTTCTCAGCACCCTGTACTGGGCTGTGCCTGATGGATGTCGCCCTCGACTGGAGACGATACGCAATCTGGTCCATCCTGCCACTTCACATCGTGAAGCGTGCAGCATCAATTTGCGCTCATGGTCAAGGCTTGTTCGATTCAAGCTTTCTACGGATGAAGAGGTTTCGGGGCTCGATCCGTTTGGAGACTGGTATGGCTATTTCGTTACAGAGCTGCAGCAACAGCATTCATATGCTCGCAAAGAGATTGAGGCTCAAAACACAGGCGACAATCGGGTTTCTCAACAGCTTGTTGAACGCACAATCTCCCAGAATCAGCGGCAGATTGAGACCTTGTTGAGCAACGCGCTTAGCGGGCTGCGGATTGCTGTCCAACTGGCTCCGAAACTGGAGCATGCACACAGGCTTGTCCTGAGCACTCCGTTTGAGTCTATCCTTACACTTTTCAACCCTAAGCTCCCGCGCGTGAATGTCGTTGTATCTGAGGCACTGCAGGTCTTGGTAGCGTACACCCAGAAAGATGTTCCAGCTGCATCCACATCAAATGCTCCTGCGGCGGTGACTACTGATGAGGACAGCCAGGAGTTCGGTGATTGGGATGCCATTCAGGCTGTTTGGGACCAGCAAAGTTCCCTTAGTGAAGGTATTGAACATGTACAGAAGGCTTTCCATCCGATTGTCTCTCGTCTCGTTTCGAATTGCTTTGGCGAGGACCATTGTCCCGACGATGCCATTCTTCTCAACGTGATAGAATGCTGGACATCAATAGCCCAGGTTCTCATTCGCCATCGCCTCCGAAATTGGGACAATTATCTAAGCGAGTTCGGCGATGATTCCTGGACGCGGCTTCGACAGACAGTTCAGACAAGAAAGTTTGCGCCGCTGTTCCTTGCCGCATGTATCGAAAAGGACGCGCAGATTGTTTCTGATTGCCGAATCCAAGTCATGAGTATGTGGATGTCATCGCTGGTCGAGCGTTCCTCGATGTTGAAGTTTCAACATCGTCTCACGGAGGCGCTTCTGAACGGAAGTCCCACAGATCCCTTGCTTGCCAATCTTCCGTTCTCTAAGGATAAGAAGATTGGCCGATATGCAATCACATTGGAGGAAATTGGCTCTCGGCGGCTATCCCTCCTCTCGAGCCTATCGTCTAATATGCGTGAGCAGCTCCAGGGTATGGAACTTTCTGGCAATCGGAACTTTTCTGTGACGAAACAAGAGTACTCCGAAATGCTTCAGCGGGTGATGACGTCCATGAAAGACAACTACCAAGAGCTAGGGAATGGGACAGCGCAGGCTGCTCAAGGAGAATACGTCGAGTTCGTGCAACGCGTTATCGGTTTCCTTCAGCAACATACCAGCGACATCAAACCCATCGACCCCTTCTTCACCGACCCTGCTTCGTTCCCTTTGCCGTCTACCGATCCACGCTACATTGTTGCGAAGCTCAAACGCTACGAATCGAAGTTATCTTCCAGCAAAGAGATCCAGACCTTGACCGGGTTCGTCCAGAGCATTTCCGAGCGTGCCGCCATTGACGGCCAACAGAGCTACCTGGTTGACCAATTGCACACATCGATGAAAAACACCTACGAGTCGGGAGACCACGACAAACCCACTCTCCGCGCTGTCCTATTGCAGTGCGTGTTTCCAGCGTATCTCGAAGCGACCCTTCCCAACCGCGCCTCCTGGATCCTCAGCCGTCCCATCATCCAAACCATTACACTGGAATTCAAGAACTTGCTGTGTAACATAGACACTCTTGATGCAGCCTGTGTATCTTCTGTCATCGATATCATCGATGTTGTGTGCCGAGCCTCCTGCCAAGCACTGGCTGTTGTCGCCTCCCGACGCCACCGTCTGCAAAGCCCTATAACTTTAGTCATGCTTGCCGCCTTCCTAGACATGATCTCCTCGGTCCTGCCGGTGGTGGATTATATCGACCGGACCACTGGCGCAGGGGAGGGTATTATCACGCGCATCGAGTGGATCCGCGATTTCACGAAAGCCGTGAGCAGATGTCTACAAAGCACAGATCCAGACGCAGACTTGTCCTCGAGCAGTGCCCATATCACATTCCCTGCAACGCCGCCGCCCTCCGATAGTAGGAAAACCGAACTCTTCGGCACGGCCAACAACCTCGCCTCGAATGACCTCCTGCCCTATCTCAGGAAATGGTCTTATCATCAGGATAAGTACTACTTTACTCGTCCCGGTCATGATTCACAAGAGGTCGCAATCGAGCCTGAGATTGCTGTTCTAGTGGCTAGTCGGAGTGAATCGCAGAAGGGTTTTGAGGATGCAGCGAAGGGATTCGTTGATCGCGCAAAGGCTTTGCAGTTACTGTCTTGACCTGTGGTTTTTTTTTTTTTTCGTTCTTTATATACACGGCGTTCTTGGGGGAAGTTTAACGTGTCACGAATATTAGAAAGGAATCAATAATGTTATCTTGTGCCATATTGACAATGTTGCTGCTATAATGGAGGCTATAGTCTTCGGGTTTTCAATGTACCCGTTATAAGAATAGTCGGCCGCTTATGCGGCCTTGTCAGGTCTTTTTAGTGGTCTTTTTAGTGGTCTTTTTTAGTAGCCTTGTCAGGTAGTCCTTTTACATGTCTTTTTAGAAGCCTGTTTTGAGAGATATTCCCCCCCCTTCAGTTTGTTAGCTAGACGACGGAAAATGGCGGAAAATGGCTTAATTTGCGAAAAGGACTTTTCTATGTATGACCTTTGACTGTATGGGTTTCTCTAGTAGATTTAATAACAACTACGGAGTACCCTTGACGGTCTGGGTGAGGATGTTGAGAAGGAGCCGAGTCATGCATTATGCAAGGGCTATGCCAACGGGTCCAGTGCAAACAGCCCAGGATGAATTAGGGCTGCATGCCCCAGACTGGCCTGGATATGCAGGCCACCGTTGAATACCAGAGGCAATCTGATTTACCTGATAGCGAGGCGCGCTTGTCATGTTCTGATACTATTAGCTGAACAGCACTTTACGGATAGCCAATTTCCCCGGTAATAGATTATTTTGTCATTTCGAAATTCAGTCATGCGTATGGGCCACGCGCAAAAGCCCCAGGCAAAGACCCGCCGAAAGTACCTTGAACAGCGACATCGGTGTTAACCCAGGATTCGAGTTGTACTCAACATTTTCACATGCCCAGCACATTCATTTGCCTCCATCAGCTGGCATATAAAACCTGGTTTGAGACTGGCACCTGTCATACTCGGCACTACTGTAGCATTTCAACTCCCGATTGAATCCTTTTCTGGAGTGTGATAGACGGGCACACTTGGCAGTCTGGCGATAGCATATGCTGCAGAGGCAAAAAGCAAAGACAAAAGGTGGAATCACGGGGATTCTGCGAATACTGCACAATCTCACGTGGATGTGATGGAGTGTCGGGTGTTACAATACTCGACGGGAAGAACTAAACAAGTTTTATACTCGCCGTTGAAGTTAGTATCCAAGGCTTATATTGGTATTTCGGTTGTCTCGCTTTATTTGTTTCGAGTTTAGTGCATTTTGGGAAGTTTCATATTGTATAATATAGTTGACGGTGAACTATATAATCTGTTAAGGGAACCTCGGAATTCACATCATTAAGAAATCAACTTGTAAATTAAAAATTGATCCTTCCAGCGATTATGATTTGGAAATTCCTCCTTAGTGCCGTGACTATATGGGCACATATCCTCCCAGCATTAGCTGCCCCAACTCTCGATTCGGAGCTGTCTAGTAAGTTGCAGGACAAATATGTCTTCGCCCATTTCATGGTCAGTTTATGAAGAGATAAACACTTCCCATTCCTTCATTAATATAGAATATCTAGGTCGGTATAGTAAAAGATTACCAGCTATCAGACTGGAAAGAAGACATGACCAGAGCCCAATCCATCGGCATCGACGCATTCGCACTGAACTGCGCAAGCATAGACAGCTACACAACAACCCAGCTAGCCCTAGCTTACGAAGCAGCCAAGCAAGTCAACTTCAAAGTATTCATCTCCTTCGACTTCGCCTATTGGACCAATGGGGATACAGCAAATATCACAGAGTACATGAAACAATATGCAGGCCACCCAGCGCAGATGCAATACAAGGGAGCCGCGGTCGTAAGTACATTTGTCGGAGACAGTTTCAATTGGGATGCAGTGAAGCAGGGCACACCACATCCAATTTACGCATTGCCGAATCTCCAAGACCCCGCCGAGGCTACCACCGGTCCTGCCAAGAGCGCTGATGGTGCGTTCTCGTGGTTGGCTTGGCCTATAGATGGAGGAAATAGTATCATTCCAGGACCGATGACTACTATCTGGGATGATAGATTTGTCCATTTCCTTGCGGGGAAAACTTATATGGCCCGTTAGCAACCTTTCAATACAGTTCTGATATCTGGGTGAATAGTAAACTAACTTAATATCAGCTGTCTCACCCTGGTTCTCAACCCATTTCAACACCAAAAACTGGGTTTTCGTTTGTGAGAACCTGCCAACATTACGTTGGGAACAAATGCTTTCCCTTCAGCCAGATTTAATTGAGATAATTACATGGAATGGTACATTAATCTTATATTCCCGGAACATTCCACAGAAAAGTCCCTCCTAACCGCAGTTACATAGACTACGGTGAATCCCACTATATCGGCCCGTACTCAGCCCACCACAGCGACGACGGCTCTTCCCAGTGGGCAGACAACATGCCCCACGACGGCTGGCGCAACCTGTTCAAGCCCTATATTGCAGCCTACAAATCCGGAGCAAAAGCCCCTACCGTGGAAGCGGATGAAGTAGTGTACTGGTACCGACCTACGCCCAAGGGTGTCGAGTGCACGGGGGATACCCTTTCAGCGCCAATGGGTGCGGGCATGCTCAGTGATAGCATTTTTATCGCGACTATGTTGACGAATCCCGCTACCTTGACGGTGCAGAGTGGGAATAATGCTCCGGTTAGCATTGATGTTCCGGCGGGGATTGTTACCTCGAATGTGACTATGGGTGTTGGTGCCCAGTCTTTTAAGGTGACTAGGAATGGAAAGACGATTCTGAGTGGCCAGGGGGGCTTGGCTGTTAAGGATAGCTGTGTTCATTATAACTTCAATGTTTATGTTGGGTCGATTACTGGGGGAGTTAACGGTGTTAGTACAGAGTAACTTGAACATGTGATATTATGGACTATGTCTTGGAGATTGTTTCAGAGAACTATGGGCACATAGGCTAAACTATTCTGGATATGCCCACGTACTGTGCGAGAATTCTTTATTCTTAACATCCGTCTCATCCGATCTCCGTGTCCGTATCCTCGCCGATAGGGTTTTCCCGCGGGCTCTTATCCATTTTATTTTATTTTGTTTATATTCTATATTTTATGTTTTGTTTCTATCACAATATATAATTTCATTGCCACGCCGATATTTTCCAGGAAACAAAGATATGGCTCCTCCTTATCGGCGCGTCGCTGTTACTGGAGCAGGGCCCTCCAGCCTAGCAGCTGTGAAGGCGCTTGAGCAAGAAGGATTGTTTGATTATATCCGGGTTTTTGAACGAAAGAGTAGAGTTGGCGGTTATGGTTAGTATGTGGTTTAGTTCAATAATACTGCTTACTGACCAAGACATAGGGCCTATGAGCCGGAACCAGACGCATTTCAAGTGAGTACTCAAAACGAGGTTACTGAGATTCCCAGTGAACTTGGACCCAGGACTCCATGTCTCATGCCAGCAACCCCGGGGCCTCAGGGTCTCCGGGGAGCGGCCTACGAGACAGGTAGCTACTCGGTGCTTGCCTTTACCGTTTGGTCTGCTGCATGGACATGGGCGGTTCTTAAACGGCAGTGATTTCTGGTCAGGCATCTCTGCCTCTTGCGGTTTAGCCTCTTGTTGACCCTTCCAGGTGGAGAAGACGCCTCTTGTCATTGTTGAGGCCTGTTTCGGGCCAATTTCAATGTACATCGCGCGGAATGACTCGATCAGATCGCGGGTTTGGTACGTCTTCTTATCCATAACGATGGTATTTTGCCTGCCACCAGATAGGCAGCACTTCACAGCTTGAAGGAAATCAGTTTGCGCTTTTGACTTCATCCAAATCGAGGCTAACAGCTTGTTCCCTTAGGTTATCCCATGCTGTCAACCATTGCTCGAAATGTAATTATGTAGTATATCTCTGAGGAGGAATCGAAGCAGTCCACCCCCATCGGCCTTGAATGACAATCAGTAACGGTGCTCGTGTTTGGGGTACAGGTATTGGCATAAACAAAAAATCCGATCTGGCGCAACAGGAGGCGCGATAACCCACTTACCTTATCATGAAAGACGGACTTCCCAAGCTTCTACGGCGAACATCGTGATTGGATGTCCGCCGCATATTGTTGGCCCGCTACCTTGATTCAGAGTATTCCACCTAGGGTATGCTACATGGTTTGGACAGACCCACCAGTGACTCACGTAAGATCTACGAAGTAGTCAACCAAGAAACCATTTTGGCACTAAGCTTAAAAAAGCTTTAGCCTAGACTACGTTTGGCCTCCATTCAACGACTAGTCTTACTTTTTATAGTTGACATGAGTCAAATGCCGCCACAGCCATTCAAGTACCAATCAAACAATAGCTATTTTGGGTTGAGTCATGCTCTCGATGCAGCCAAGATAAATTTCCAAACTATGGCCCACTATCTCCCGGAGCTGCTCTTTATGTTGTCACGTTAGGTCCGGAGATGCAATCCCTCCAGAGACCAGCGTTAAGTGGAAAAATATAAGAGGTCAAGGCTGCCCTACTCGTGCTTTATTCATATTTTGAAACAAGCATTTCTCTTCCTCGAGTCTCGAATTTCTTTCTCTCTTATCTTCATAAATGCACTGGAAGACACTCCCAGTATGACTACTCCCAGCAGGGACTCAACCCTCACATACCGCGAAATCACCGAAGAAAATTGGCGTGCGGTGGCAAACCTAAGTCCTAAAGACGGCCAGATAGGAAACCTCGCCCCCAACGTTTGGTCTCTCTGCGAATCCCATTACTCCGAAGACGCGTGGACACGAGCTATCTACGCCGACGAGACGCTTGTCGGTATGCTTATGATGGCAATATGGGATCCTGATCAGGCGTACTACATTTGGCGATTCATGATTGATGGTCGGTACCAGAACCTCGGGTACGGTCGCCGCGGGGTAGAATTCGCGATTGCACATATACGACAGCACAACCCTCAAGCAAAGCAGCTAGGGGTAATGTCAACACCACCGGAAGGAAAGATTAGTGGGGATACATCGAAGAATGTGAAGCCTGACGATTCGCCATATAAGTTTTACCAAAAACTTGGGTTCAGGGAGACTGCGCCGCCAGATGAAGATGGAGAGATTATGATGTCAATAGACTTATAAATATCAATATTCGACAATTGCCACTACCCATGCGTCCAGCTCAGGATATGATTTCAAAAGCTAAAATATCCGAAGATGAAGTATAAATTCAAGACGCGGCTAGGTGCTATACACTATGTTCAGAGCTCGCTGCTGCCTTTTCTGTTCGAGTTCAGTAACCTGTGTATCGCTTTCAAGTTGAAACCCTGAATTGAGGTACAAGTGTGATATATATTTTCAGTCTATGAGAAAAGATCCAGCTACTCGTAGTCGCAGCAGCTTCTGCCTAGCGGAGTGGCAGCCTAGCAGGCAGTCTTTCTGGGAACTTACAAAGAAAAGCTGACCTGCTGTGACGGATCGTGAGTGTATGACCGAGCTTCTGCACGACTGAAGCTAGAGCTAGAAGCTTGGCAAGAAAATAAGAGCCCAATTCAATAGAATTAAATTAGTCCGAGTCGGCCATGAATTGAGCATTGGAGCAACCCAGTCCATGTCAGTTCGGCAAGCACTAAGATATGGAATCAAGCGAAAAAGTTGAGAGTCATAATCAAAATAATAAGGAAATAAATCAGTACAGGCCAAGGGCAACCTCGGAAGTCAAGGCTAAATTTATTTAAATTGACCTGAACGAGTAACTATATATTCCAAATTAGAATTCACTTAAAAATAGTATCATAAATTGCTTCCCGCAACCCACTTTGGCTACGCTAATCCCAGTTTGGTATGGTGACCTACCCCAGCTCCCCTGGGACGTTCATGTGCTGTCACTATGCTCATCGGGCTGGCTTCGAAGCCGGGTGACAGACTCTGGAAACTGGCACGGAATCGGTAATGTTCTCTACCGACAGCGGCAACAATATCACCTTGAGCACGGGTATCAACTGCAACTCGCCTTACGAAGATCCTATTCCGAGCGAAGTAACCGGCCGCTGTGTCAAAGCCGCTATCCGTTCTTTCCTATCTTATTGATCGTAAGTGATTTGCCTTGTAATGCTTTCCCCACTCCAAACCAAATCTGCAAACTAAACACTACAAGATCCATTAAAGCTGGACGGTCCTCAAACGGTGGGTAGTCCACTTTCGGACAGCTTCTGCAGTCTCATTCAATGCTTTGTTATAAGTATCTGGATTACGGGCTTTTTTATAATCGCCAAGGTGAGAGATGTCCTTGACAACGCCAAGGTAGTCAAAGTAATCCCCACATGCGCTAAAACACCTTCATACACCCTTTCCATATATACATGATGTAACAACAGAACTTTGTATACATCCACCGATCAATCCACACTCCAAGAAATATCTTGCCGTTTTAGGCCCCCGGTGCAGCCGGTGAACCTACGACCAAAGAATATTGAGTTTCGCAAGTCCCTTTTTACGTTGTGGTTCAGGCTCGATGTTTTCTTGGCCGAGGTAGAACTGCATCAAGCCGACAATCGGAATATTTACCAAAGCGAGGATACGCGTTTTCTTCCACCATTTGTAGCCGAAGTACAGAGCTAGGAAGATTGGAATGTTAATGTACGACGAAATAAATGTTTCAGAACTCCAGTGGCCATGAATAAACGTGCTGAAACCTCCAGTAAAAAGTAAAAGGAGGATCAGCACAAGCGAAGCCCAGGTCGAGTAAGGTTGAAAAGGGGCAGCCCACGGAAGCTCTCTGTAGCGGTCGATCCCCTGCTTCTTACAACCGTAGTAGAATCGGAGATATACGACACAGCTAATTCCCCAGTCCACCAAAGTAGAGATTGCCACAACGGCCTGCAACCAGTTAAAGACTGTGATTGCTGACTTAGAGACGACCATATACGCCAAGGACATAAAGGCCCCGAAGAAGATGATGGCCACATAAGGCACACTGAATCGGTTCAGCCGCGCGAAGACCGCAGGAGCATGTCCCTGTATTGCCATGCCAAAGAGAATTCGGGAGCCGACAAGGATAAATGAATTGCCAGCTGAGTAGGCTGAAGTGATTATAGCGGCATTAATAATCGAGGGTACATCCTGTATTCCTGCCCGACGAGCGGCTATAACGAATGGGGATTGGGAAGCTGTGCCAGTCAAATGAAGGAGGTTGGGGTCATTAGAAGGAACAACCAAACCAACCATGAATATGGACATAACATAGAAGAGAAAGATGCGGACCAATATGCGCTTTGTTGCCTTTGGGATGGCGTGCCTTGGAGATCTCGTCTCAGCTGCAGCAACGGTAATATTTTGAGCTCCTGCGAATGCAAACACTGCGTTGTTCAGAGTTGACCAGAAACCGAGAAATCGACCCAAAGCACCCTTGATACCAAAGTACTGAACGAAGGGCCCTGGGTCTTCCCAGTATTTGAATCCAATCGATTGGCCACTTGGTCCTCCACCACACGTAATCACAAGTGCCATAATATTTACCCCAAGGATCAGTAAGATCTTCAGCATCGCAAATGCAAACTCAATCTCCCCATAAACTCTGATGAAAAATAGCGCAGTAACGAATATCAGCATACTGAAAACAGTGATCCATATTGCGCTGCTGACAGTAATCCAGAATTCAATTAAGATCGAAGCTGCCACGATCTCAGCAGGGATAGTCACCAAGTATGAGTATACTTGAATCCATCCGTTAGCGAAGGACATGGCAGGATCGAAGAAGAATTGTGAATACCGGACGAGACCTCCACTGAGAGGCACTAAAGCGCCCATCTCCCCAATAGTGAGGACGACACTAGAAACAGCAAGGCCAATAATAGTGTACCCAAGGAAGGCACCCAGAGGCCCTCCCATTGCGAGTGCTTGGCCAGAGTTGAGGAATAGGCCTGTGCCGATTGTGCCGGCCAAACCAATCATCTGAATGTGCCGCTGGTGAAGACCTTGCCTCAGATCATATCTTTCTCTGAAGCTTTGCGCAATATCATCCGTTTCATCATGAATTACTTGAGAGACAGCTGCTTCTGTGAGAGGAATTTCTAAGCCTCTTTGAGAGGACATGGTTGTAGAAATTGCCGAAAGAAGTCAACCACGGCCAAAAAAGTCAGCTATGAGCAGATGGGAGGTGGTTTAAAACGACTTTCTGCCTCTTCTCCATTCGATACGTCATAAAATGTGTTCTGGGCATTGAAGGCTGCCTCATACGCAACAACCATGGGACCTTTGGAGCTTATTTTGGTTAACCGGCCCTTTCGCAAATTACCATTAATTACAGACCCTCGCATAGCGCGAGTCCGCCACCCAGAAGATAAAAGATCACAAATAATAATTTTCCCCTACTTGTATTTTCCCGCACTATAATAGATCACTACTTCGTCCGAGATTCGCCTGCTTCGTAGTATTAGCTTTAAAGGGTCGTATCCGTTATAGATACCACTTCGAGATTTATAATCATAACTCGTACCCGTGGACGGAACAGACGATCTAGTAAACCCGGCCGACTATAGCGGGTTATCCTTCGAGCTTCTATTCTAAAATAGACAGGACTCGGCAAGGGCCTAGTTCATACTTCGAACGAAAGGTAGACACAAGCGTACCAAGCGACTGATAAGGAAATCTGGATATCGCCGTTCGCTAGAACTGTCCGTCTCTAAGGACTTTCCTAAGATCGCACTATATCACCCTTATTCTAACGACACTATCACCCAAACGTATATCAGCCTTACTTAGCACACCACCGCTAATCCCGACTATTAAACTTACGCGAATCGCTAGGGAGGTTCGCTTTATATTCGTCATTATAATAGCCGCATTATTTATTCTATACTGACTTTCTGGTAAACACGCAATAACGACATTGTGTTGATTGATATTGCCTAGTATGTAGGTGTTTCTATCGTCCATATAGGTAGGCAAGGCTTCGTGGAAATCGTCCAGTATGGCCTAGGCCGCTGCCATTTTTATATATAGCGCGCAGATCTAGGCAATGGTGTACTGATCGTATCGTGGGGCAGGCAAACTGTTATAGTGGGAGGTTTGAGTCGCTTGGACGGGTGGAAATTTGTCGAAATTGGGCCGTAGTTATTACCTATTTGAACCGCATTATTGATATTAATTTGTGAACACTGTATTAAACAAAGTTGCATTTTTTTGAGTTTAAGTATAAGAGTGCTTGGGTGCGGGCGGGAGTGGTGGCAGGTTGCCAGATTCTCGAGCCCCCAGTGATACGTTAAATATTACAAAAGTACATAGTAAGTATATATACCAAGTATCAGCACATAAAAGAAAAGTCGTCAAGGACGACAGAAGCCGAGAGTGGGGAAGACAGAGTACAAGCCAGAGTCACGGACGACGAAGTTGCGACGTAGTTGGTTGAAATCCCCAACCAGACACCCTTCGGTGACGAGCCCAGGCTGACAGTGTAAGAACGGTCACCATAAGTACACATCATGGTGCTGGCGGTGCTCCCTGCTATGGCCTTGTAGTAAGCCGAGAATTTGTATGTATTGCCGACAACAGTGTCGAATGTCTGCATGATTTTGGAAGTACTGAGGCCATTCGCAGTATATAGTTGGACTGCGTAGGGGGTATCATAGCCCGACACGATCGCATATCTGCCGCCACCAGTCGTACTGAGTGTCCATGGGCTCAGAGCAGCGTTGGAAAAGTTGGGGTTCTGGACCAGATTCATGCCGCAAGTAGGGGTTGCCGGGATGGCGGTTGATGTCAGTGTTGTGGTTGTCGTGGTAAGTACTGTCTGAGTGACGGTGACGTCGACAGTGGAGGTTGTTATGACCGTGCTCAGTGCATCGACAGTGGTCGTGGCAGCAGTGTGGATTGTTATTGGCGAAGTGACTGTTGCAGATATTGTGGAGGTAGATGTGATGGTTGCCACTTCGGTGATGGCAACTGTGATAGTCGTGGTCTCAGTCTCTGTTGTGGATGCGGTTTCGGTGGCGATTATATCGGCTGTAGCGGTGGTTGTCTGACTGACAGTGAAATCGAGTGTCTCGGTGGTGTCCTGAGTCGTGATGATGTCGGTTGTAGCAGTGGAAGTCACATCGACAGTCATATCTTGGGTAATCTCGGCTGTTTCATAGGTGGTCACATCGAGCGTTGTCAAAGATGTCAGATCAGTTGTGCAAAAAGCTGTAACAACGTCGGTCACAGTGGTAGTGTAGTCGTTTGTCACAGTAACCGTCGAGGTGTCCGTAGCAGTAGTTGTGGAGGTATCCGTGATAGTTGAGGTCGCAACGACGCTTGCCGTAGAAGTTCGAGTCACAGCCTTAGTCAAGAGAGTGCGCACAATATTGGTGGTATAGTTAGTGACATATTCGGTGATAGTTTTCGTGATCTTGACTGTTTGGGGGTTGTGGGCTTTGGAATGGGTGGTCAAAGTCTGAGTCACGGTGGGCCGCGTATCTGTCTGGGTAGTGAGGACTGTCAAAGTGCACTTGCCGAGGTGCAAAGCAGAGCAAGCGGTGGTCAAATCCCTGAGCGGGATTGTCCTTAGGGGCGGAGGCGTGTGGAACGCATGCCGCTCTGGAGCAACTTCCCAGCGCCTAGCAGGCGCGGTAACAACAACATCAGTGGTTACCGTTATGCCATCAGTCACAAGGGTGGTCTGAGTGGCGGTTGCATAGTCAATCATGGTTGTGAGAACCACATTTGTGGCTGTTTCCATGTCGGTTTGGACAACAGTAACCAGCCGGACTTCGGTGGCAGTAACATCTACGTCCTGGGTGGCCGTAGAAGAGATAGTATCGGTAGCCGTCTCGGTGGCAGTGTCAGTGAAAGAAAGAGTAATGGTCTCCGTGTGATAGTTGGTGATAGTAGCAGTCGATACATCAGTGAATGTGTTGCTCACGAAGGCAGTCGCGACATCAGTGATATACTCCGTGACGAATGTAGTGAAATAATCGGTGATTGTGTTGGTCTTGGTGTTGGTCTCGGTCTTGGTCGAAACATCCGTGATAGTGGCAGCAACATTATCAGTGATTGTTTGGACAACGGTGCTCGTGGCAGTGCTCGTAAAGGACCGGGTGGTCATTTCGTAGTCCACCTTGGTTAAGTGGGTAGTCTTGACATCTTTAACAGTCACCGCGGTGCGGCCAGTGACAGTCACAGGTACAGTGATAGTCGAGGTGGTATATTGCGTTCCAGTACTGGTAACCACATGAATGGTTGTCGAGGTAATTTGCTTGGTCGATGTCTCGGTCACCTTGGGCGGATAGTCCGTGATGGTATGCGTGACCTTGACAGTAGTCGGCCATGGGTGCACCTTCGTTGTGTGTGTGACGATATCGCAAGTGCGATGTATCAGCTCCCGGCAGAACGAGGGTCCGTCATGCTCATGTCGGATCAAACGAATGAGCTCCTCTCCCGAAGGGCACTTGACATGTTTGTCTGGCTGAGGCAAAGCCACCGCAGTAGCGGCCAACGTGAGGAGTAGTGAGCCCCAGATCATAAGAGCACTCACAACTTGCGATGTATAAAAGGGGAACACAACAAGACACAATGAACAGGATCAAACCCATTGCAGCAGCCAGGGGGCTTATATCGCCTCCCCGGCCCGTCAGCATGGCCACCGGGGTCAAAAACATGGAATTCCAAGCGACACATCTATCGACTTTGTCAGTCCCGAACTTAAAAAAAGGCAAGTCTATGGGGCTTTTGTGGGGAGCTAGTTAGACACTAACGGAGTGGCAAGCAGAAAATGGGACAAACAAGCCGGTGTAGCGGCGAACCCGCACGCAACACACACGAACGCACGGCTAAGGCTTGGCCAGGCCCGAAGCCATCGGTGTTTTCCAAGGGTTAAATTGGAGAGAAATTCTTTGTTCGGGTGTTTTGACTGGCTTAGGCAATTATGAATATACCTGCTCGCTTCAGCAAAATTCTGTATGGTCATTCGTAGATGTACTCGGTATGGATATTTGAAATTGAACATGTTGAAATATACCCGTTTCTTCGCCAAAGTCAGCAGTAAAATAGTCAGGCTGGAAATATAATTGGTGTTCTAATATGCTGTGAAACAAACTCACGTTGTCGATATCCAGTCTAAAGAATGTCCCAAAAAGGAAAAGAGTACTTGACTGTTCCTCATATGACGTCGAAGGAGAGATAACATGTAGAAGGCTACCAACGAAGCCAACAGAACTTTCCTACTGTAAAAGATTGAACAAAATCACACATATGGCATTTCTTCATTGTGCAGAGCTAGAAAGTAAATCAAACACCAGCATGCTCAGATTATGAACACGCAAGAAAACATAAATAGAACCCCCCCCCAAGAGTAGACGCCCGATGAAGCCAGAGCAACCCAGCTAGGTGCAGCCATTTCCTCGGCCCGCACTAGCGTTGATGGCTATGCAATTACTTATCATCCATGAATAGATAGCAGGGTCCATTTAAGCCGTCGGGCCCCCGGCTCCGTTCCCGGTATCCTGGCTGGCGCGGCGGTGGAAGGGATGCGATCCGAAATGGAAGACTTTCTTCACAGCACTGGTAATGCTGTTCTTCCTCCTGCCCTGTGGCGCCTCCTCGGCAGAGCGATCAGTGTTTTTCTTGGGCACAGAGGCATCATCAGCAAGGACAATCGATGTCACGGCTGGCTTTGGGGGCCACTGCCCGTCTGATTTCCAGCCTTGAACCATGGCTTTGGTCAAATGGGCAAGGTTGACGGGGACGGTGGGGGTCATGCCTTGCACAACAACCTTGGTGTAGATTGAAGGGTAGATTGCGGGGTTGATAGTTGCGCGAACTGGATTATCGTTTGGAATGAAAGGCGGGGCAACAGGGCAAAGCGGTTCATCAAGCTCTTCTTCCACCTTCTCCTCTTCTGTTTGGTCTTCCACAGCCGGGAAGGATGTGACTTGGGGAGGCACGACTGCGGCGAGTTTCTGATCTGGCTCTGTGATGGTTGTCTCTGACGAGTCCTTCCGTTTGGCTCCCTCGTCTGGCGCGGTAGACAATCCTTCCTCCTGATCCTCTTGCTGTCCCGAGGTCATATCCGTTCGATGCTGGAGCTCCTCGCTTTTCTCCCGATCCGCAATGGAAAGTGATGTTTCGATCCGGGCTGCCAGATGAGAGGCGTCAATACCCTCACTGCCCTGGCTAGGCGGCATCGCAGATTGGGATGAACCAGACGATGTCGCATCATTTTCTCCTAGGTTCACGCCATCGGACTGATCTGTTGTGTCCGTCTGCGCGCCAGCCAACGCGCGCTTTTCCTCCTCCGCCCGAATTTGCCGCCGAGTCTTCGCACCACACCACGCATCGCGTCTGGCCATCCATAGGCGTAGCCCTTCGTTCCATGCCATTTCGTCGTCCATTTGTCGACGGCGTTTGCGACGCCGTTCGATGCCCGCAGCTCCCGGGGCGAGTTTCTGCACTGCTGATGGATCATATTCTTGCTCGCTATCTGAGCTTTGTGGCTCGAGTTCCGAGGTTGGGGTGTCGAATTCTCGGACTCGCCATTCGCACACTTCGCGGTCGTGGCAAAGAGTGCCGTCGGCGGACGACGGTGAGGGAAGGCCGGCATCGAAATCCCAGTCATTTCGTACGACTTCCTTGACAAAGACTTTGGCCTCACGAACTGAGGAGTCCCGAGACCCGGTGGCCATCATTTTCGCGATCTCTTTTGGATGCGGGGGGTTACTCGGGTGAGAAAGTGGGGAGCTCCGTAGCAAGGTTTTCTTGCTCGCCCGAAGGTGGTCTTACTTGCCCGGGCACTCCTGGTGTTCCCAACTAATAAAAAAAAAAGCAAAATTGAGAAATTCAAAGCAATTTAAAGAAGCAAAGAAACAATCTTAGAAGGTCTTTGCAAAGTCAGGTGGCGGGATGATCAGACTCAAATGTCATAAGGCACGTGCCCCAATGCGGAGATACAAGCCTCAATTCTCTCCGCCTTGATTTCATCTTTCATTTTTATACATCTTTCGTGCTTTTTCTGCGTATCTATTCACTTTGATTTTGACATTACCAGAATATATGTCGCTTGCTCTAAACTCTGGTCTTATAACCTTACAATGGGCAACACAAGTGATTGAAGGGAATTGAAAAAAAAGGACCTCGCCTATTCAACAAATGGAGTGGCGCAACGCCAAGTGGTGCTATAAATCCAGTGCTATTAATCCTTGTCAGTATCTCGCGCTATACCAACTTTGGAAGCTGGTTAGATGGAGGCACAGATGTGGCATCATGCATGGATGCAATCTCAAACCATTTGCCCTTGCCAAGGCATATCAAGAAATCTAATTAAGCACGATTTCAAAGACCAGCTCAAAATCAACATTTCATATCCAATTCCTCGCCTACTATTCCTACTTCATTAAATTTGTTCTAAAGAAATAATCCCTCTTCATGCATGGAACTTTAGTAACACCGATTGTTTGCCTAGATTGCCTGGCCCCCGCCGACTGTCTTCAAGACAACCGGCCATTCAAGCTCTTCCAGGCTGTCTGCATAAAGTGAAACGCTGAGATTTAAAGCACTTTTGAATTGCTGCACACTGCTAGCATAGACCATGCACAGCTGCAACCAATACAGTTAGCACTCTATGGCCATGCCAATGGACACGAAAGTTGAAAGACCAATTACCTTAATAGGCGCGTGACAAGGGCCCCAATGGATGAAGACGATCTTGGTCCTGCACAGCCAGTGACTAGAATTAGCCAAAAAAAAATATTCCACTACACTCATCAAGTCACTAGAGTAATCTCTTACCGCTTCCCTCCCTTCGCAAGCTCATAATCCATGTCGTAGATGGCATACCGTGGAGCCGGGTTGCGATCTTTGTCGACGGCAGCCCATAGCTTCTGGCAAAAGACCTCGTAGTCTTTTTCCGTCGATGTTTCCTCGACTACAATACTCTTGTTGTTGTCGGAGATCTTGTAGATGATGAACTTGGGTCTGGTGGCTTCTGGCCCTGATCGGAGCTGGTTGAATACAGATATGCATTCATCTGCAATGGAGATACTGATATATTGATTAGCTGATATGTTCTTCGTGGATGCTTTTGTTGGGACTTGGAATACCCCGATGGATTCTGTAGAAAGCAAGGTGTTAGTACTAATATCCACTGATTTGTAGCAGACCTACGTACCGACATATTGAAGACTGGTAAGTAGTATCCTGCAACAGAACTATTTATGCAGTTAGAATAGATAGACCGAGCAAAATGAATCGTATCTTGTGGTAGATGTGAAGTGATGAGAAGAAGGGAGCTATTAGCTACTTTTCTCGCCTTATATCCCTAATCCTACGTCAGTTCCATGTGTTTCTATACATGCTGCCTGACTAGGCTGATATATTCTATCTTAAAGGAACATATAATGAAAAAAAGTCTTTGGTATGTATATGTAGGAACCCGGTGAATGTGCAACACGAAACGTCTCTGCCTGCGGTTCTACCAGTATTGCTTCACAAGGCAAACTCCAACCAAAAAGGCTGGGGTATATTCGAAGTGACCTATTCCAAATGACACTTGTATAATGAGCATGTGAATAGCTTGAGTTCACACTAGAAATCTATGAGTAGGCAGATATAGCTTGTTAGGTACTACCTATCTGATATAAACGTCCAGCTCAAGGCTAGATCTGAAATCCTCAACATACATGTGTGTACATGTAGGCACTCACATTGAGTGATTCTCGATTAGATGTATAAATTAGATAAAGGTATTTGGAAATAATTCCCTAGAAAAGCAACGTCCAGAAACCAAGCAGACATGGGATATAGCCCACTTCGTTATACTGGCAATGAAAGGAAATTATTTTGAACAATTCACCTTTGCGTTTTGTGATTGTATCCAGAACATTCCTTCTTTGTTACATGCATTTCCATCCTGAAAGGATCTTCTTCACTCCATGGAATCCTCGACTTTCCTAGTGTTAGGGATAGTTCATCGCGCAGAAAGGAACAGGGATGAGTTGGGTGATAAATAGCGGCTGGCTCAACTTGGTCAGTATCTGCAAATCCTGCATCTGATAACTTTCTTCCTGATTAATTTTATGATCTCGGCAACAACGAATTGGCGAGTCAATATGGATCTTCACCAACTCAGCCACGATGAGGAATATGTGGAGGATAACACCAACCTACTAGAAACCCCAATTGTAAGAATCTGAATTGGAAACAATGCAAAATTTTATTGGCCAAGAAATGGATGGCAGTATATACATTCGAGTAATGGTACAGGTCTATCATATCGCTAAAAGTACACAGGGAAACCCCAATTTCCCCCAATCCACGTAAAATAACCAGTATACAAGCCTGCGAGAGACCTCCAATGAAACAAAAATCATGTCCGAACACGCGCCGAATCAGCTGAAGCATTGCCACTAGCACCAGGAATGAATCCCCACCCAGGGCTCTTCTGGCGGCGACCCTTCCGGTCACCATACTGCTCGTCGAACTTCCGAATAGCTGACAGCGAAGACATATCCTCACTAATCGAAGCGCTGATTTCTTCCATTCCGCGCTCGAAATGTGTGCGAGTCAGGATGCGGCGCTCCGGGTAGCTATATGGCTCGTCACCCGTGTGCTTGGCCGCTGCGTCGTTCTCCTCGCGAACGCAAGCCAGTGCAGCTGCCACCGACAGATTTTTCAAATCGGAACCGGAATACAGTGGCGTGCGTCGGGCGAGTTCAGCAAGGTCGACGGAGGGTTCGAGCTGTTCCTCCTTCAGGTGGATTTTCAAGACTGCTTCGCGGTCTTCCTCGGTTGGTAGATCGACCAGTAGACGGCGGGGAAGACGGCGAAGGACAGCATCGTCCAGGTCGAAGGGTCGGTTTGTAGCGACCATGATGAATGCTGAAAGGTCATTCATGCCGTCCCACTCGCGCAGGAACTGGTTGATCAGTTCGCGGTGGGAGGTGCGGCTGCTAGCTCCGGTGCGCGAGCAGAAGATGGCATCCGCTTCGTCGATGAAGACGACGCAGGGGCTGAGCTTCTTGGCAAGCGTGAAAATCGCTTTCACGTTCTTCTCGCCCTCGCCGACGTACATGTCGTACACTTCAGACCCGCTGACTTCGAGGACTGTTGCTCCGCTCTCGCGGGCTACGGCTTTGGCGAGGAGCGTCTTACCGGTGCCTGGGGGTCCGTATAAGAGAAGGCCGGGAATCTTGTCGGTGGCGAGGACACCATATGTGAATGCCTCGGGCCGGATGAGTGAGAGGGAAGTCAGGGTCTTCAGGGCCTCGATGGTCTCGGGAGGCACATGCACATCGTTGAATGTGGTTCGGATGCTTTTTGCGTCAACTACACCGTTAAGCAGCTTCTTCTCGTGCGTGTTGCACGTTTTGCGCAAAGAGCTGATCAGCTGCTCTCTGGTCTGCCCTGTTTCCGAATCCTTCTGCTTGGGTGACTTCTCTTTCAGCCATTCATTGGTGACTCGGTCGCTTTTATCCATGAGTTCGATTCCACGTCGGATGTGCTCAAACCCGAGGGGCTCGTTGGCTTCAGCGCAGCCAAGTGCAAGGGTAGAAATCCAATGCACTTGATTGTACGACCAATACCGATCCTCGATTCCTGATTCTTTGATAGTTAAAGGTTCCAGCGGCCAAGCGCGGTCGCTCAAGATGTTATCTTTTACAGGCAGAGCCTGTTCGTGTAATCGGAAACGAAGCATGCTCTGCAGGTGGCGAATATTGATATCCATGGTGCGCTTCTTTCGGTCTTCTGCGAAGACCTTTTCAGCATCTTTCGAGCTCATGGAAGGGGTGATGAACAGGGTCTTGGAGAACTGATCATCGAGAACATTTTGCAACAGACCAGCACCATCTTGTGAGGGTGAGTGGTGAATTTCCTGCGAGGTAGTTCCGATCAACAGAATCTTGGACCCTGCCGCTCTCCGATCTTGGATGACTTTGTGCAAGAGTGAAATGAATTTGGACCCCTCTCGGGTGTTTTGAATGTCACGGTAGTCCTGGATATGCATAATGATGTCTCGGGTTGGCAAAGCCTTGCTGGCTTTCGTTTCGGCATTTTCTGTTGTTTCACTTGGGACTGGCAGTGCTGGTTGACCTGATGAGCCAAGGAGTTCGTTGACTAGTTGGATCCATCGCGTTTCAGCGCGCTGGCCACTTCGTGAGGCCCCGGCCCCGGGATCCGGATCCGTTTGGCCATTAATCGATCCCCCCAGAAGGGTTTTCAACCCAAGCCAGTTGGGAAGCGGAATGTCACCGGCCTCTTTGCTGCTCTCGATTGTGATAAACCGAGGTGTGCCAATATCGCCGCGCATACCACGGGGACCACCTGCCATTTCAGTCACGTCATCCTCGCCGTCTCCTTCGGGGTCTTCAAGTTCCGACCATGAAGTTGTGACGGATTGCCGATATACATCATAGCCGAGAGATCGAATGGGCGAAGTTACTCCAACATCCGCGAGATCTTGCTCGCTGAACAATTGTGCAATGTCCTGGGCATTAAGCGTCACCAGGTCAGTGCTCAACTCATGGGAAAGCTTCTTGACCACCGCGTCTAGGAATGGTATGCCATCACTCCCTGGGTAGTGCAGCGCCAGATGCGACTTCTTTACCGAAGGCTCTTTGGCATATTTCACAGACGGTAACCGCAAGCCTGCTTTGGCGGATGCCCGCAGCTCTTCCCATGATTCCTCGGCCATCGCATAGCGATTATCTGCTGCTGCAGGTGGTTCACTGGATGCAGATGGGTCGGAATCTCCCCCGGAGGCCTGACTCTGAATTTGAACCTCATCCGGCTCCTGTTGTGATACTGACTTGGTTATCCTAACCTGTTGTAGTGATTGTGTAGGGCGGTCTTCGGAGCTGTGAGACACCGTATTGTGCTCATAGAACCATGCGGGAACTGTCGCCGTTGATGGAGAAGTCTGTTGCGAGGACTTTCGGTTTCGCATCGCTCTGCGTACGGCAGATCCGTAGGTTTTGGTGATCGACTTGGCCGACTCGGGGGAGGGAGATGTCGCCGGCGTGCCATTGTCAGAGATATTCTCAGTCTTGAGGGAAGGGTCTTCCACAACATTCCCCGGTGCTGTAGGCTCGGCATCGTGAGGGTCTTGGGACGGTGATGCAAGCCATGTTCGTGACAGGTGGAATCGTCGCGCGGACAACGGTGCGGAATAGCGGCGGCGAGCAACAAATCGACAAGGGCGTGCAACTGACAGCCGGACTTGTTGCATTGACGAATACATCCGGGACACTGTCACCGGAGCTTTATGTGATATCGCCGAGAGTAGTAAATATGTGCACCAAGTCGCGAGTGGCGCAGGGTCCCTATCGGTCCCTACGAAGGAGAAATGAGGGGTCACGTGATTCTGGATTTTCTACTTAGTATTTGCCGCCACGGCCTTTGGTTCCTGTTGTTATTAGGTACATATGTACCTTTTCTACGTGTGCTATATACAAAAAGTACTTCGAGCTCAAACTCAAAAAGCTTACGTGCACATCTCCATTCCGCGGGCGTACGGTTTACTCTTGGTCCATTCTTCAGTCGAGGATCCTAGTACCCGCTTCGTCTCCACCACGACTAATAGAAAAGGTACATTTTGTCTGGGCTTCCAATACAAAAGGTACTTCTGGTCAATCATCAGTTTCTTGGCCACAACATCTAGAGATCAAATGAGTTTGACATTTCTAATATGACTGACTCTATGCAGCTACATATGCAGTATGGTGTCATCACAGTGCTATATAATTGAACATTAAAGGTTACCCTCGAACTATGCCGAAACTATGTACTCTTTAGACTTTTCAGCCTACAAGAATAGTCGGCCGCTCATGCGGCCTCTGTCCTTGACGACTTAAATAAGACGTTAATAACTGATCTATTTGGACCAAGATGGTATCAGACATATTATATGTAAGAACCCTCCGATATGCTTTTTAGATGTTCTCTTTATATGTCTTTTTTGGTGTCTTCTTGGGTGTATACGAAGACGGTAAAAAGCATACATTGTGCAGATGAGTTTTCTATGTATAAGCTTTGATGAGATGACGAGCTTATATTCAAATCACCAATTTATGTCCATTATATACTTAGAATACAACCCATTAAAGATATTAAATATCTTACAAAAAAGTATTATATATAAGCTTCGGAAGAAGATTTTACTCTCTATAGTATGACTGGCGACGATGAAATCTTCCACTTCCTAAAGATCGACAACGACACTAACGTCGGTTTTCTTATATTCTACATAATTACCTTCTTCCAACGTTTTAAATAGTGATATATGCACACCGTTACTGGTATTATCCGGGGATACCAGCAGATTTTCGGTTGGGATGCCGGTCCCATCCAACGCCACAAACATACGTGCCAAAGGCACGCTCCTTTGCCTGGAGTAGAGCCGATTGTATTGCACTTATCGCATTCCTTTTGACCCTCTTCACCTACCTAAAAGTATATACCATACAAGGGGCTGAAAACAAAAATGGATCTTTGCACCCCCGTCGATTAAACATGCAGCTGAATCTCGCGGAAAGTAGTACAGATTATCTTAGTTTCTATAGATAATTGAGCGGCAAAATTGGTGCTTCCGTCCTTTAACACCTCAAAAAGTCAGCCCCAAAATACAACCCTCGTAAGTAGCGTCGAGAACTCAAAAAACTCCTGCTTTTAGAAGTGGATCGAAGGTCTTTCTCCCCTTTCCTCCTTCTCTACTCCCTACTCATCTTACTTCCATACCAAAATGCAACCCTCTTTTGACCCTCAGCTATCTGCCAAGCTTCACAATAAGATCTTGGAGCATGCATGGAATGGTACCGGACGAGATATATCTTCGCTTCCATCTACAACATGGTGGGAAGAATCTTCCCCAGTTTCATTCGACCTCGCTTCCCCGCCTAAGCCCTAAACTCATTCAGTTTCTACGGTTATCGAAATCCGTCTGTATTCCAAATACGGATTTCCATTTTTTCTATTTTCTACATGGGCTTCAAGAGAGTCGGGACCTTCTCCGGTTCTCCATTCTTGAATCGTGGGGAGATCGGTTTGTGTGGTTATATCCAGGGACATGTTCTACTAATGAGGATGAAGTTGGTATCTTGTTAGTTTCCCTCCTCTATTGGCTCCTCTATTGGGTGGACTTAATACTAATATGTGGAATAGATTTGACCAAGAGACTGAGCTAGCTGCCTTCTTCCCAGATTGGGAATATGTGGTTGATCATGTTGAAAAGCCATGGCCGTGGAAGCCTTTACAGCACATTCTCCACGCTTATCTGGAGATGATCGATGATGGCAAAGTAACAACATCTTTAGAGCCGAAAAGTGCATTGCCAGAACAATTCTACCCCTGGGAGATTCAGCAATGTACTCAGCGGGATCTTGAGAAAGCCGTCGTTGCTTTCACCCGTCTTCTCGATGCAATCGAATCCCGACTACCTCCAAATACTAGCAATCAAGAAATAGAGCTTCCATACTCAGACTTGGTGATTGATAAATCTTTGCCTGCAAAAAATTCATTCATCCGATCTTTCATCTCCGCTCTTCCTCCTCGCCACATGAAGTTCCGCTATATAGCTCCAGGGATCCGGATACAAAACCCGGCAGAGTTTATATCCCAGCCATTCACAGAACCCCGTGAAATTTTTCAACCGCTTAGCAAAATCGAAGAGAGCATATATGGCCTCCCAACCCTCTTATTTCGAGCGGATGGGGCAAATAGCTCACCCTGGACCCGGCCGTGGTTTCCAGATGGGGTCGCGCAGGATATTCCCGTTGGCTTATACATTGAGCCCACGCGTAGGTACCTAGCTCAGGATTTTGGGAACGAGAGTAGACTGTTGCTACCGTTTGGGGTCAGTGCTAATGGATATGCACGAAGTAGCAACGGTATCCGGTTGTCCCATTGGCCTTCAAATCATATTCGAGATGATGTGTCTGAGGGGCTATATCAAGTATATCATTTCAGTGGGTTTCTGCCAACAAGTCTGCGAAGTGTGCAGGTTCACAAGGTGTTGCTAAACTGGGCGGAGCGTGTTGAATTAGGTGATTGGGAAGTGGATGAGGATGGGGTCGCGGGTGGGATTGAAAAGTTCAAAGAGGCTGACACTCAAGAGCATTGGCAGAAGTATCAGGTTCCGCTGTCTTGGTAGGAAAAAAAAAATCAAAGTAGAAAAAGGTCTAGCGTTTCCTCTCCTAGCCTATATTATTCGTTGCCTTGAACGGTTTCAGTTTCACACTTAGATAAGTATATAATTGGTACCTAGATGTCCTCCATGCTCCCTTCTCTATATCAAGATTTGAGAAGGATAAATAAATGGCGCAAAACCCGGGGGGAGCTAACTATAAGCTACAAGAGACAAGCAGTTAAGTTTTTAAAAAAAAATTCATTCAAGTATTCCACAACTATATATCCAGACAACACACAGGTGTAATGGCGAATTGATCATCAGAAGGAAGGCAACGGAAATCTCTACATGGTTTTGCGCATTCAGAACAGGTCTGTGAGTTTACATCCGAGAAATTTTTCGTCACTTGATCAATTCGCCATTACAACGAGCGATATCCTTTTATGCATCGTGGTTCATGTTTGGAACTAGACTGAGAACAATGTTAGTGAATTGCTCAAAACAAAACATGATCAAGATGCATTGCAATATAAAGAGTTCTCAGACAAGATATACTGGCAAGTAGCAGACCAACCGGGAAGGGAGGTCCGTATTGTCTCCGCATTGTCGATTTGGAGGGTTAAGAAGTAATAGGTTTTGTCATCCTTGAACGGATAGGAAATGCAAATGCAGGGAGAAGAATGAGAAAGGATAAAAACTCACGTTAAGCACAAGGTGCTAGCACCTGATCTGTCAGGTTAGTGGCGAGATTGAAGCATCGTAAGATACTGGCATTGGGTCATGCTATCCTCAGGAGTCATGTGCAATCAACATCAAGAGAGCTCCGGAAACCTGAGGAACATGAAACCACAAAGCCAAAAGTAATTCACAGTGATTGTATGCCTCAAAGATGGCAATCTGCAGTAAGAGAGAATGATGTACCATGAGAAAGCAGAATGAAAGACAAAGAAGAAGATGAAGAAGAAGGAAAGGAAAAAAAAAGTTGTGAAGAAAAAGCCGCGAAACTATCACGTGACCACCTGATTAGGAATAGCGTGTAATTGGACTCTGAGCGGGAGGGAGAGGGAGGAAAAAAGGCCTCAGAAAGGGAAAAAAAAGGATTGAAAGATGGAGATTATACTTTAAGATCTATACAATTTCCCGATTTCATTGTAGTCCTATTTTTTTTCTTCATCCCTGTTTCTCTCTGGATTAATCGCGTTGTCGTCTCGGTTAGATCCTCCACCCTACGGACCCGGATCCTCCGTCCCCAGTTCTCTCTCTCCCACCGGGCGATCATCCTTAATTCCTGACTTGGGCGTTCGCAATACCCTTGGCCCCCTAATATTCAGATCCCTTAGGAAAACCACTTGTGAGTTGTGCCTCTTTAAGATATTCCGACCGTTTCGAGAGCCCAGCCCCTCCACGCCTCTCTCCCCTAGCCCCGTCACATTTAGCCTTCATCCCCGACAACTTCTCTTATCACTCCCCACTGACCACTCACTTCTCTCAGGAACAAGATTCATTGCGCGGGTGAGTGACTTGGCCAGGAGGCCCCCCGATCGATACTTCAGCACCTCGCGTCTGCTGAATACCGGTGCAAGTCTCTCGCTACGTCTTGGCCCATCCTCGAACGCTTAAAGCGGCCTGTTGTCTTCCCACTCCAGTCGCGCTCCACGCCACGTTTCGCCCACCACATTTTCGCCATCGCGAGCGATTATTTTGAAGTCCCCCATTCGTGGTGACTTCGTCGCTCAGCAATGATGATGACGCAGCCGTTTCCTGCCCACCAAGGCATGCCTCAACATGGGTTTCCCCCGGTCACCCAATGGCTGCGCAACACCCAAATGGACACCCCGGTGCTGGAATGGTACAGCAAATGCATCCTGGTGTGTCTGCACCGGGAGGACCTCAAGTCAGCCAAGCGGGCCCGATGATGGGCGGCATGCCCCCGGGCGCTGGAACAGCTGGTCCTGGTGGCCCCGGCCCAAATGCTCATGCCCTCTCCCACCTGAATCCCGCGCAGGCGCATATGCTTCAGAATCCCCAATTCCAACAAAATTGTTAGTATTCAACCTCCTAGTGGCTTAACGCAATGGTGTGCGTGATGTGATGTTACGGAACACGCGATCGGTGCCCTCTGCGGTGACTTCTTTTCCCCCGGCTATATCCGCGTCTCTTCCAACCGTCTTTTTCGATCGCATACTTACATCCTGATCACTCTATAGTCGCGAACAATCCCCATCTATTACACCAGCACCAACAACAGCAACAGCAACAATTAATGCGGCAACGAATGATGCTCCAACACCAGCAGCAACAGCAGCAGCAACAGCAACAGCAGCAACAGCAGCACCAGCAACAGCAACAACAACAGCAGCAGCAACAACAACAACAGCAACAACAGCAGCAGCAGCAGCAACAGCAGCAAGGTCTCCCCGTATCAATGCCTAATGGTACACAAGGACTTAGTGCTGCTCAAATGGCTGCAATGCAAGCGAACCCTGGAATGCGACCCGTCAACATGATGCACCTTCAGCAGCAAATGCCACATGGCCAGCCGCCAAGTCTCCAACAGCAGCAGCAATTTTTCGCTATCCAGCAGGCTCAGCAGCAGGCTCAACAGGCTCAACAGGCTCAGCAGGCTCAGCAGGCTCAGCAGGCTCAACATGCTCAACAACAGGCAAATAATGGACAATCAGGCCAGCATACCCCGCAGCGTGCATCAGCACAACCGCCGAATATGCATGAACAGAGTGCCACTCCACAGTCGCAGCATGGCGGACCAGGAGGCGGCACCCCGCAACCCTCTCAGACCTCTCAGCCGCCATCCACTCAACCCCCGCAATCACAGGGGCCGCCTCAAGGCCAGGCAACTCCTAATCCCCCATCGCAGCAATTGCCGCAGTCCCAACAGCCGGGTCAACAGGGACAGGGTGGTCCGCAGCCGCAACCTCCCCAGAGCGCCCAGGGCCAGCAGCCGGGTCTTCAGAATCAGCAAATGACGGCTCAGGAGGCTCAGATGAAAGCACAACAGCATCAGAATGCTCTTATGATGCAGCAACAACAGCAACAGCAAAGGAAGAATAACGCCATATTGACCATTCATGCCTACGCCGAGCATCTGGGAAACTTCCAACCCCGCAATGAAACACAGGATCTTCTATATTGGCAAGCGTTTGTCGATCGGTTCTACTCCCCTGTAGGTGTGTTGCGGCAGGGTGTTTGGAACAACACGATTGGATCTAAACAATTCGAAATTGGGACTCCCGCATTGGCACGTTATTATTTGACCCAATTTACCAGCGGGATTAGTCAAATTCAGATGGTGATAGAAGGTGCTCGCGAGCGGGAATCTCACAATGGAGGGCATTACGTGGAAGCCCCGAAATGTTCATTCATTTATTGGTTCAAGAACGAGTGCCAGGTGCGTCTCCTATCGCATGATCATTTTCTTTTCATTTTGCTAATGCCTACCTCTTTAGCTTTTCACTAACGGCACACTACGCGCGCACTTCGATATGCACAACAAGCTTGAGATGCTCGATGTTAATGTCGTCAGCCACAACGAGTTCATTCCGCGGTCTTTGTTGTTGGCCATGGAGGCGGATTCCCAAAAGCAAAGTCCGAAGGTCGCGAAGAACTCAAAACGTGCCCAGCCTAAGCAAGCAGCATCATTATTGCCAGATTCCAACGTGACTGCCAACGGCGTGCCTACTCCAGTCATGGGATTCATGGAAGTGGCTGAAACCATTTCTGCGATGCAGATGCTGTTCCAATTTTCGCAGGCAAATCCACAGCTATCACCTCCTGACGCTTTGCGGAATCTCGTCAACACCCTCCAATCGCAAAATCCCAATCCAGGCTTTGTGTCAACTCCCATGCCCATGAACCAGGGCATGAATCCAGCCATGAACCCAGGTATGAATCAGGGTATGAATCCAAACATGAATCCGGGCATGAATCAGGGTATGAGTCCGGGCATGAGTCCCGGTATGAACCCAGGCATAAGTCCGAGCATGAACCCAGCCATGAACCCTATGAATTCGGGCATGAATCCGGGCATGCACCCAGGCATGAGTCCGGGCATGAATCCAGCCATGCACCCAGGCATGAATCCCGGTATGAACCCAGGCATGAATCCGGGCATGCAACCCATGCAAAATGTTCGGGGACATAGCATGGGCGCTCCGTCACAGTTTGCCTCGCCTGCCATGGCCCATCTTGGCCTTCCCGGGCAGCAAGGCTCGCCTCATCTGACTGGTTCAGCACATGCGAGCCCAGCCCAAAGCAACCTTGCCGGTCCCCCAGGAATGCAACCACCGATGCAGCCGTCCCCAGCCGGCGTGAACAACAGTCCAAATGTAGGTGGCAACAAACGTCGCCGGGCAAGCACCGTCAAAATGGAATCCGAGGACGGTGGTGGAGTCGAAGCTAACGGCGCTCCGCAACAGGGCTCAGCGAAAGTAAAGGCTAGCCCTCGGGTGCCGAAGCGACAAAAGGGTGCCGCCGCCTAATCATATTGGGATTTTGGTTTGCTTTCCCTTGCTTTCATTATCTCCGCCGTCTCAAGCGGTGCGGAACCGGCGTACGACTGGATACCTGGGCGAGGCATGTCGCGCCCGCTCTTGTTTGTTTACTCTTCATCTAGGTCTTTCGTCCCATTGAAAGATCTGTATCTTGCTTTTTGGCACATGACGACTCAATTCACAATCGACGGGATTTAATCAGTGCTTGAGGCCCCCTTCCCATCTTCCTTGGCTTGGAAGAGGCGTCAGGCCTCATCGATCCTGCTCAACTCCGACCTAATGTACTCTATCTTCCCTTCAGCGTTTCCTTGGTTGGCTTGGGAACATTACCCGGCCTTGCATGTTTTCTATCTTTTTCTCGTACGGTTGTCATTTTGATCCTTTTGCCATCCATGTCTGGGATTTTTTGGATTGGTCTTTGTTTAGGCTTTTGCCCAATGCTCGCTTTTTCCTTGGCAGTCTGTTCATTTTTTCTCCTCGTGAACAGACAGAACTATTGATATCCGTGTTTGGCGAATGATATGGCGTCCGGCTCTTACGTTTCTTTGTGAACTACGTCTGCGTGCATAGGGGTGTTCTATGTTCCATTTGGGTTGACATCTCTCCCGCCCCCTCGGGGCTTATCCTCTCTCTGCCGCTACTTGACGAATCCATAAATACCTGCTTTCCAATCATGATGCATCGTAGTTTATATACTTAAAAGGTATGTTGAAGTATGCGTCTATAGCTACATATGCAGCGTGGTTGATATTATGATGAAATTTCTCTTTTCAGACATCTTTCTCTGCATATTAGGAATTGTAGCAACCATAAATCCCCAAATCACAATTTATACAAGAATATCCCTCTACTAAAATCCATGCAGACCGAGCGGCGAACTCGGCGAACTCTAGCATCGGCGAATATACTTGCCTTGTACTTCTCAGTCTTCCAACCTCAACGATCTGTTCTCTCAGCTGTGCCGTTGCCTAACAGGCCTAAGGATGAAGGGACTGGAATTCAAGACTACTGGCGGAACTCGCTATATGGATTTGGCTTCGTTATGACAGCAATTGATCAAACCCCCGAGTGAACAATTCTAGCTGTTGAGCTCTCCGTCGGCGTATGTGTGCTATGTGCCGCTGGCCTCGCAATGGGAGTCGGTCGTTGCGAATAGCCCTGCTGTTTACCACTGCTCTCTAAGAAAATAGGAGAGAGGACTGGAATTGATTGGTCAAATATTAACACCTCCCTACACACTCCCTCCAGTGAGTCACATCACGAGCATCTGGTAATACCACAGCGGCCCCAGGTCTGCAGCGGGGCTTTTTCCCCCACAAAATCGTGTTAAGTCGTGAAAGGTTTATAGCAGCTGCTAAAAGTGTGACAGTCAGCAGAAGCCCAATCAGGTCCATCAAGAAGCATCAGTTAATACCACACAATAATATCTGAATGACTCCTATGTATTTGCTGCTACTTCTCATACTCATTGAAGTATAATGCAGAACCAGTCTTTTATGAAACATCTGGTAGGCCGGTTTGAAAAGTCCATTCGCAGTTATCGTCGTATCCCTGCGCGATTCTCTCAACATCGACAACAGCATCCCACGCCGCCAACGTCTTCCTATATCTTTCCTCTCCTTCATCGACATTAACAGCACCTAGGTCTTCCCGGCGCCTAGCATCGCACTCGCGGCGCAGAACAGACCTTAGCACATCTAACAGTTCTCTCCTCCACTCAGGTTGATGGCCCCCAGACAGCCGTGCCTCGACGTACTCAAAGTACGCGGGCATGATGTTGGCCATCTCCCAGTCCAGGAAACCCGTCACCGCGAGCGTGTAGGGGTCCACGAGGATGTTCCGGTCAGATAAGTCCCCATGCGAGAGGACAGGACGGTCCCAATCACCTACGCCGGTGGTGCCACGCTGTACTCGCTCGAGGGCGACTGCACGTTCCGTGTCCGGGGCAGAGGCCTGCAACGCGTGGACGCGCGAGTCGTCCCACTCTGAGCGGGAGGCGCAACATGGATGCTTCTCTACGCCGAATTCGGAGAAGAGGAGATACGGCTGCCGCGTGGGCCGGCCGTAGTAGGAGAAGTGGTGCGCACGCATGCGCACGAGGAGACGGCAGAGCTCCGCCTTGACGGTCTGGCGCTGCGGAGGGGTGAGTGAGGGCCAGAGCTCGACTAGCGGCGTGCCCGGCAGGTGAGTGAGGATGAGGCCCTGTTGGGCGCGGTTGGGCGTCGAGGCGTCGGAGGTTATTGTCGGAAGCGTGACGACGCGAACGACGCGTGGAACACAGGGGCCCAGGATGGAATGGGCGAGCGCGGTCATGTTGCCTTCGCCATCGTCAGTGCCGAGCTTGAGGATGGTGGAAGGAGAATGGATAAAAAACCGGCGTACAAGGGTTGGAACGGTCGGCCCTGAGAACAGAGGGAGGCTGGGGAGAAAGGCCCAGGTCTCCCGAGGAAGCTGCTCTGGCTCCTGAGAGCTCTCATCGTGTAGTGTCATGGTGAGCGGCGATGCGTGGAGAGCAGTCCAGAATATCGGGCGATGCTGAGGGTTAACTTAGTTTATGAGTAACCTGGCAATGATATCCCTATCAAGTTGATAAACTGTTGGAGCGAAACAGTTGCAAGATAGGGCTGCGAAGTCCGACTCTGCTACCTCCTCGTGGTGCAGCCTGATAAAATCACCGAGGGTGATGGCTAAGAGCAGAGCGGCAATTGTAGCTTTTTTGTGAGCCTTCCTGTTGAGTCCCGGCTCCAGGGATCCATCGACGTTGACCTGTTCGAGGCGAGAAGCGAACCGAACTTGCTGTCAGAGGCAAGAGAGCAGTCTCCCTCCCTCCCCTGCGTCCGCGAACAGATACTGACGCCTTTCGTCTACCGTGGCCTATGAAACTGGCCGGTCGAATGAGTCTCTTGTTTTGCCGATGACTCGTACAGCGGCTTGCAAGCCAGCTCACAACCCAGGCTCGAGAGCCTTAATAGAGGGACCAAATGCCAGGGTGCTTGCCAGAGATGGGAAATATAAGATCTACATTAAATCTTCAGATAATCGTGAGTGGGTGTCAATTGTGGAGGCTGTCAATGCTGATGGTCAATCTATCCTATCTCTGGTGGTTTTTAAAGACTCATGGCGACTACACTTCGATAAAAGAATCACCAATAAGCCTGTAGTATTGACGAAAATACTGTACTGGAGTTAAGAAGAAAGGAAGAAGAGGTAAGACTCTGGAAGCTGGCAGAGGAAAAAGAAAAGCTCGGCATTTGTTATCATATCAGTTCCCCACACCGGTCTTCCGGGGGAGAGAAGTGCCCCTCATCTTGACTTTTCTCCAAACATCCTCACTTATCTGACTTAGTATTCAACTCTACCGACCTTGGAAGCTTAACAATGGCACACTCTCACTCCCACGACGCCGGCATCGACCACTCCCACGATGACCCCTTCAACGGCCACGGCCATGCACACGATATCCTCGATGGTCCAGGCTCCTACGCCAACCGCGAGATGCCTCTGATCGAAGGCCGAGACTGGAAGGATCGTGCATTCACTATTGGTATCGGTGGGTATGTATAGAACTTCCGATTCCATCCTAATCAGCTCTTATTTCACCCGCCTCGTGCCAATGCATATAACCCTTCAATCATCACCTTTAGATGCATAGCCAGTAACTAACATGAATGTGGGATCCGAACAGACCCGTAGGATCCGGAAAGACAGCCCTGATGCTAGCGCTATCTCGCGCCCTTCGAGACGAATATAATATCGCCGCAGTGACGAACGATATCTTCACAAGGTAAGAAACGATACCCTAACCCCACCTACCAACTCCACATCCAAAACAACTGGACTCATACCTACTATACCTCATACATACCTCCAATTTCAACACTGACCACCCTCCCAAAAACAGAGAAGACGCCGAATTCCTAACCCGCCACAAAGCGCTCGCGCCGTCCCGCATCCGCGCCATCGAAACAGGCGGATGCCCACACGCCGCAGTGCGCGAAGATATCAGCGCGAACCTTCTCGCGCTGCAGAAGCTGCAGAAGCAGTTCTCGACGGATCTTTTGCTGATCGAGTCCGGGGGCGACAACCTGGCTGCGAATTACTCGCGCGAGCTGGCGGATTTCATCATCTACGTGATTGACGTTGCGGGTGGTGATAAGGTGCCTCGTAAAGGTGGACCGGGAATCACGGGGTCTGATCTGCTTGTTGTGAATAAGATTGATCTTGCTGAGGCTGTTGGGGCGGATCTTGCTGTTATGGAGAGGGATGCGGCGAAGATGAGGGAGGGGGGTCCGACGGTGTTTGCGGTTGTTAAGCATGGGAAGGGGATGGATCATATTGTTAATTTGATTATTAGTGCTTGGAAGGGGAGTGGGGCTTATGATGTTAGTTTGCAGAGGTGGAAGGATGGGGCTGTTAGGGGGTCTGGGAGTGTTGATGAGTAGATGGAGTTCGATTTAGACTTGTAGGTTTAGATTGGATAACTCAAGATTTTGGATAGATGACCTTGGACAGCTTGGAAAAGGATACGAAGCGAAATTGGAAGGTTAGGATATTTATGAAGTTCAATATATTCAATGTGTTGAAAGTAGAAAGTAGATGGTACACACGTTTAACTGCTTTTTCCCTCCGAATACAAACATATTCCCCGAGAACGCCTGGAATGCAGCTGTCGCCAAATCTCCAATATGTCACAGAAGCCGCGTGTGGGCTGGGTATCTGGGTGGTTTTGGGCAGAGGGACTTGTTCCTCTACTGCTCCACAAGATGTCACACAAGCAAGAAACAAACTCAGTGATCTCATTTGGCGAACCGGGACAGAGCCGGCCCCAGATCCTGACGTTCCTGCTTGAGCTTGTCCTTCGTGCGAGCAGCATACTCCTTGCGCAAAGTCTCGGCCTTGACACGCTTCTCGTCGATGACATTCTTGCCACCCTTCTTGCGGAGGTACTTGCGCAGGGCACTGTTGCGACCACGACCGCGGTTCTTGATCTTCTCCATGTGATCCTCGGGCTTGTGGTCCGGGTTGCGCTGCTCCTGGTACTTCTTGTCGTTGATGGTATCGAGCTTTCCAATGATGTTGGGGTCGAGCGAGATCATATCCGGCTGCAGCTTGGTGAGCAGCGAGTGAACCTCGTGCTCCTGGCGCTGTCGCACGTTCTCGTAAGGGTTGGCTTCCAGCGAGTCGAAGTTGGGCTCACCGGCGCCGGGAACGAGGACGCTGGCGAATCCTTGGTCGTGCCCTACGCCAAGGATATCTTCGTATGGGCACCAGCGCACGTTCTCGATGCGCTGTCCATCTCCACCCCACGCCATGTATGGGCTTTGCACTTTGCCTTGGTCGGCTTGGGCGGCGTCGAAAAGTCCACGCCACACGCTCATTTGCGTGCCCCAGCCGACTGCGGTCAAGCCGCGGTCACTAATAGACACAGATGCGCCGGGCTGGTAGCATGAGTATGAATGCACCTCGCGGTACATGCGGATATCCCACACATTCATCTTTTGGTCTTGGCCTGTAGAGACCATGTAATGGCCTGTGCGGTCCATTGCCAGTGACCGGACAGGTCCCTGGTGCACGAGCGCCTTTACGAGAGGGGTTTGGGAGTTGGGTGACCAAAGGGTCACAGCTCCATTTTGGTGTCCGACATGGAGGATGGCATTCCATGGGTTCTGTGCGAGAGCGGTGGGTTTACCCAACCGTGTAGATAGCTCAGCGACGGTCTGACCGGTTGAGGTATCTGTGTATTTGAGGTGACCGCTCATTTGCTGTGTAAAGATTTGATTAGCGGGGGATCTAGGGAATCGAAGAATCGAGAATACTCACAGCGCTTGCGAGGAGGAAATGATATGGCAGGAATTCCAGGAAGAGCGGCTCCAGGTGCTTGCTCAGACAATGAATCTCAGTTCCCTGGTGATCGTAGATATAAGTGTGCTTCTTCTGCGCCACAGCGAAGAACTGGTTGTTATGCAGCCAGCGGGCATCCCGCACAGTCTCGTTCAACTGTAACTCGCAGCCCAATTTGCCCTCGCGCCAATCCATCGTCGCAACATGTCCCTTCCGTCCCGCCAGCAGCAGGTCACGTCCGTTCCGAGAGTAGTCCATGCGGTAGGGGCCCATATCAGGAAGCTTCAATTCGAATCCCTTCTTTGCTGTCTCGATTCCGACGCTGTCCCGAATCTCATCTTGGCGAACTTTGTATGTCCGCTCGAGTTCACCTTCGGGTTCGAGGAATCCTTCCGTGTGCTCAAGCAAGATCTCTGCATCTTTGGCTTGGAGAATAGCCTCCTTGTGCTTAAATTCCTGCCTCTTGAGATTTGCGCGCAGCTTCTTGTCCCGCGCACTCTTCGCATTGGCACCTTTGCCTCGTCCGTAGGTTTGCTCGGCTGCTGCGAGTCTCATTTTCGCTTCGTGGTCGCCCTTGGCGACAGCCATGTTGGAGGCTGAGTCGGCCATTTTCTGGCAATTTCTCGAGTTCGTTTGCGAAAGAACTCAGGAAGATAAGAAGGCAGACGACAAGCCGTAGCTTCAAGAAAAAAAGTGTTTTGCCCAAAATTTCGCCAAGATTTGCGCTCACCGCTCGCTTATCCTCCACTGGCGAATTTTGATTTCTTATCGTTGCCTTTTTTTTCTACAGAGGCACTTTCGTTTTTTTCTGTGTATTTGCCAGTTATAAATTGTTCTGGCTTGATATTTGTCGAGTTACCTCTGACTCGCTTCAATCTGGACTCCCTCCCTTTCCGATTCAAAGGCTCTAACGCCAATATGGCGCCTGCCCAGACGGTGCACCACCACCGCTCCACCACCAAGGTTTCCCACAAGCCCTACAAGAGCAAGCATGCCTCCAAGAGCGCCTTGAAGGATCAGGCCAAAGGTATGATTTTTGAACTGCCCAAGCATGATAAATAATCCAATTTTAACGCTTATACCATTCTAGGCAAAATCGAAGGTGATGAGCGGGGCGGTCGTAAAACACCCCACCAACAGCTCAAGACGAAACTCGATCGCCGTAACACCGCCCGCCAAAGACAGGCGTTGAAGCACCAAGAAAGATCACAGGCTACCAGCATCTTCGCCGGCCAGAATGGTGCTCCACGTCATGTCGCAATTGTGCCATTGTCCGCCGATGTTGACGCCGCCGCTGCTATTTCTTCTATCAACGAGAGTGTTGATGTGTTGGCTGATGTCTCGCCCGATGGACCTACCCGTGTACGCATTGATCGATTCCGTCAGAGCGTGCAGTACGTTCCCGCCAAGTATGACTTGATGAGCGCTCTGGATGTGTGCCGTATGGCCGACTTTGTCATCTTGGTCATGTCGTCCGAGGTTGAGGTTGATGAGGAGGGCGAGATGCTCTTGCGCTCGATTCAAGGACAGGGTATCTCGAATGTGCTGACTGTCGTACAAGGTCTCGACAAGATTGACCCCCCTAAGAAGCGCCCCCAGGTGGCTACTTCGTTGAAGTCTTTCATTAACCACTTTTTCCCCTCTATTGA